TGCCTCCTCACAGGCAGGAGAAGTCTTCTTCGAGAGTTCCTCTGTTAGCTGCTGCAGCCGATGCTGCTGTCTTTGGTGCCCCCTGTGGGTCTGGGGGAGACGCTAATGGTGGTTTGTGGCAGAGACGACGATTTTTGGCCAAATGAAACAGACAGAAGTTTTCTCGGAAAAAACAGACAAACAAGAAACACAAACAAGTGTGTTAATTACCATACCAAACCAATGATTAATTACAATTCAAAATAAACCTATGAAATAATTACTATTAACATTTTAAACATTAAATTCTGAAAACCAAATCTGCATTCAACTACTATCCTAAGCCCTATTTTTCCAAAAGTATAATGCTCTCTAAGATCATTCTAACTTTTATATCACCAAAATGTAGGGAAAAAAAACTTGTCTAGACGCCTTGGAGATAAAAAATAAAATAATGCCTCTTTATAATCTAACTCAAAGTTCTGTGATCCTATGACTCCATGTCAGTAACATTATCGTGTGTATAAATGTAATTTTCTACAAAAATTCTTTCTTCACGAGAGAGAGAGAGAGAGAGAGGGGAGAGAGAGAGGACAGAACGAGGGAGGGGAGGGGCCTCCCGAACAAAGGAAGCATGGAGTCAAATACTTTCCTCGTTTTTCTCGTGACAAGGTTCTAAATCAGTGGTAAAACTTTTTCTCACGTCAAACGACACTTTACATTTTATCCTTAAATACGTCAGTAATGGAAAACATTACTATTTGCTTACATGAGTAATAGTCCCAGCAGAATCTCTTTTTTTTTTTTTTGATTCTCTGTGACTATTAAACATTACATCAGAATAAGAGAAAAACTTCCATAACTGATCATTTCTTCACATGAAACTCGTATACTACAGCCAAGAGGCTCTCTTTTTCCTCATTAATCAGATCATTATTATCAGAATCCACATTTTAAATACTTGGCTTTTCTTCTGTTTAAATTAATTGTGCCCTTTTCCCCGCCCCCGGGGGATATAGAAGGTTTTATTATCCTATAACTTCTGACCCTAACTATCCCTATCTCTCTAATCCTATTTATCTAAACAGTTGTGCCTCTTTTGCACTTATACCCCTGTGGCTCTTTTCATCATCTGTTCTGTTTTTTTTGGAGGGACCCATGCTTCCCCCAAGGTTAAAACGTCTAAACCTGACTATTGTTCTATCGCGTCCGATGGAACGCCCATCACGGCGGTCGTCTGGCCACGCTGCAGTCCGTCGAGCCGAATTCTCTCTCTCTCTTCCATTTAAAACAATGTGCAGATTTTCAAAAGTAACGATCCGCTTACCTCTTTCGAAGAGAAGAGAGAAGAGAAGAGAGAATTCTCCCGGCCCACGGACCCAGTCTATATTTGAGCTCATCTCTGTCTTTCTTCTGCACCATCACGTCTCGGGTCACCAAATGTAGCCAATAATTCCCTTTGACTAACGTGTTTCAAAATGGGATGCAGAAGTAAGGCAAACGATGTTCAAGTTTAACATCTGCATTTAATTATCTTTACAATCAGATACAGAATGTTCAACAGAAGTGCTCCTATTCTCTGCCTGGTCTTTCCCTGTCCGTGCCCTGTCCTGTCTGACCTCAAAAAACACACACACACGGGCTCATGAGGGAGACTTCCGATGACGTCATCCTTATGCGTCCAAGGGTGGAGGTTTCCGGGTGTGCTGACGTCCCCTATCCACTGGGAGGCGTCAGAATGCAGTTGGTGAATCTCCCAGTCTGCCTCAAGATCAGGTTCTGTACTTTTGTCCTCGTCAAAATGTTTATTATTTAAAGTTAATAATTCGCCCTGTTTAAACAGCATTTATTCCCTGGCGACAGTGGCTTCATTTGTAGAGAAATTGATTGTCTCCACACAACCTCCCCCAGATGTCTGCTGTCGTTGTGTCCTTGGTCAAGACACTTAACCCCACTTTGGCGCCTATAAGATTATGTTTATTTGTGGCATCCAACTGAAATGTCTCCTATGTACGAATAAAGACCTTCTTCTTCTTCTTCTAATTTGAAATCTTTGTGTGTCATCAAAAATGTCAAACAGTTTGTAGATTCTAAAAAGGACAGTGTGTCATTCTTTTGGTTTAAATTAGATTAGATTAGATTTTTAATGTGTCCCCATATAAAAAGCAACATGTCACAATCTTATGTGCCTATCTAACCATTGATTTTTATAAAAAATGTATTTGATCATTACATACTTTTAAATATACTTGAATTAATAATGCAAGGTTTTTAATGGTCAGTCTTTTTTAACACTTAAAGACGCCTCTATTGTACTACAGCAGCCCCGGGCAAACCCCCCTGACAAAACAGAAGTGAGGAAGTCTAAATGGCCATGTTCCCTCCTAGCACGCACCAGCCAGTCTCAATCAAGGCAATGTGGTGAAGTGTGTTGCCTAAAACACAACAATAGCGGCGTCCACAGTGGACATGTTTTCATCAGTGGACTCCACATACACACACCGACCAGGTCATGTTCTGCTTTGCTTTCAAGGTCTGATGGGATCGGGAGGTGGCATAGAAAAACCACATTTACCCTTATCCTCTCAAATTTCTTTTCCATGTTATCTTGAGATGAAATTAAATCATTTTGAATAATTATGCTTCCAATAAAACACAGTGACATGGGTTTTTTGTGATGTTATGTTTACAAATTTCATGTAATTGATTCATAACTAAATTCAACAATACATATACCACCACATAACTGCTAGAGAATGCAAAAAAAAAAAACTGGTCATATGTTATAACGGAAAATGTTGCATTGTGTGGTCTAAACTCCAGCCAGGTGTGCATCATAATCTAATGCTAGACTCATATGTCAGAGCAGTAATTCAGAAACAAAGTGCGACAGCAATTTTATTTCTTAATTTACACTAATATTTTCATGTTACACACTGTCCCTAAAAGAATGTCTCAACTAGTCCTCAAGGCCATGATTTACAGGATTTCATTCCAACCACGCAGGAGCACACCAGACTCCAGAGTTCAGACTATCCAGACGATTGGGGAAATCGGTGTAGTCCTGTGTATTATAGAGTTCTATAGTAATATAAATATAATATTTACTAAGTAGACTCTATTGCAGAATCCTAATATAAACACTTTTGAAGTTGAATGTGCTCTTTCCCCTGTTGGACTATCCCCTCACATCACCGTGCTGATTCATAATATAACAATATTGGTATTGCCTGAACTCAGTGAAATCAGGCCTCCATGTGTACATCACTTGACCGAGACAATGCTTTCTAAGAAAATCACACCCACAACCCTCTTGTATCACACTGAGTCCATCATGTGAGGCCTCATGCCCCAGCTTTACAAATGTCAGCCAGCTTCTCCATATTTTATTATTTACTTCCTGTTGTGACACGTTATTATTGGCCAAAACTTGTTCTCATTTACTCAAAATTCCTTAGTTTCAAATAAATTCATATAAGGATAACTGACCTTGAACAAAGTACCCATGAATTACAAGTCCTGGCCCCAAGGAGGGGCAGAGTGGAGTCAGGTGTTGTAAAGGGCTTGAGCAACCAGAAGAAACCGGAGTAAGACACCTGGAATAACATCAAACTCCACACAGAAAAGCCTAAAAGGTGGAATTGAACTCAGGACCTTCTTGCGGCAAAATTAACAGATTTTTAACTGGATTTGAACCAGACCATGGAGTCCAGTGCTCCTCAGAGTCCGAGTTGGTTTCATAATATGGCCCAAACATGCCACAATGTACTTTTGGTGCGGGCCATGGAGACAACTGTGATCATACTGCTGTTTCTATCAGACCTCATGCACAGCGTTTTGAATATATTGCAACTAGTTTTAATTCGTACAGTATTCTAACCCAACGGAAAAAAATCTCCAATCCTGTTAGACAGTATATTTTTGTTAATTCTGGCAATATTTTCAATGTTAAACGCTCATGTTAATATTTTTCCAATATTACATCAGATCAAAAATAAAAGAAAGAAAGATAGGATTTTTGTGTGTTTCTTCCTAAAGACAGACCCATAATCAACAATTAAACGCTACATTTATTTTGTACTTTGTTTTTACTTTGAATGATTTCCTGCCGGCACCGGAATGTCGTATCGCATAATGCGCCACCCTGGCGAGCAGAGACCACACGTGACAAGTCGCTAAAATGAAGATCGTCAATAGAAATTCTCTAACCTCTTATATAACTCACACCCATTTCACAAAGGCCTTCATTTATGCGTAGTATCTTTTTATAACAATGACTTTAACACAAGCTAACACGTAGCGCGTGCATCCCGAGTTTGGACCACGCTAGCTTTGCCTCCAGTCATTTTTAACCAACATTAACATAATGAAAAATATACATTTGTGTTGACATTTAAGAAAAATTTTTATAAATTTACTTTAATCTGATGCTGGATTATCTGCCCATAACAGATATAGCGACGTCATATACGGTACAAGTTTACTAAAGCTAGCGGTTTCAAAGATGTAGGTATGTTCCTAGTAACTTTACTGTTTTAAGTACATCCCGCAAACTTTCCCATTGATATTACTTTTTTTAAAACTTCTTTTAGCTAAATAGTTTTTGTAGTTTTATATCACTTTGTTTCCTCTTAACTTGTTTCAAAGCTGGGTCACGGCATTCCTCTTTCAACATAAAATAAACTGTTTCTCCCACATAAGTCATATCTGTAAACTTTTCAGACACATTTGGACGCTGACGGGAAGGACCACATTGTCCACGTCACTTTCACCCCTGCCTCACTATCCCTTAGAGCATTAAGCAATAGTATATTAATTTTTTCACTATAGTTTCCCTCTAAAATGGGATTATCGGGGATCATATATATAACGTTGGGTGTATTTCATAACTTTAAGATCAAGCTTTGCGGGTCATTGGAGGACACAAAAAGTAAAAAAAGTAAAAGCAGCTCAATGTGTTTTTCACAATAGCAAATTTTACACATAACATGTGTTATAAAAGCAACACATTGGCCAAATAGCTATATTGACAACTGACAAAAAAAGAATTATATAATTTCTGAAAGTTATTCAGATCTTAAATGATACATAGAAATACTAGTTACCTCAAAGTTAACAGAGAAATTCCTCTTCAGTGCTATTTCATATACCAAGCTAATTTCTGATTTACTGGCATCCGCACCATCATCACTGTCTTCTTCCTCTTCTGGGGCCTGAAAAACACAAACTGAAATTAGTTTAACATTATCATACTAAAACTAAAGTCGCAGTTGAATATCAAACGCCAGGAGGATCTATGCGAGACTGTAGGTGTGAAAAGCCTTGTCCCTACACTTATCTCATCATTTAAAAGTGATTGACGTGGGTCTGTCCCTCTGGGCTCGACCTGTCCCTGTGTGACTTGATACAGTGCATGATTCATCAGATGAGATACCGTCTATTTATCCTTATATTTCACAGGAAGCTCACACAAAATGGATGAATGCACAGGACTTGATAGAAACTAAATATGTGTTGGTGGATATTCAGTAAAGTGACATAAAAGGGTTTCTCCCGTAATTCCCCAGTGTACCATTTCTTTTGGCATTCATATTCATTGGCATCTCAGCAGCATCAGTTTTTGTAGATTAATGGCATGAAGTCTGTCTCAAGGCTAGACGACTGAACAGAAGGACAGCCTTTGACAAAGACAAAATGAAAGCTGGTAACCATTCTGACATATTCAATAGATGGCTGGGAAAATCTACATGCTACATATCATTTCTGAGGGTTACCAAAAGACTTCAAGGCCAAAACTTCAAAGGCTCTTTAGACACTAAAGCCTCACACAAACACGTTAGTTTACTACAGGTTTGTGATCCGCATTGACTGTGGACGTCTACATGGTCAGCTCGAGTGCAGCGCAGGCTTCGTGTTTATCAATGGAGAAGCGTGTCATGCATGCGTGTGTGGCGTGATACATCATCAATCAAATCAACGACACGATAAATAAAGGCAGAAATAACTAAAGATTTGGAGTGAAATGGTAAACTTCCATTGTCTCGTGAAAGACAGCGGTGTATTCAAATCAAAATAAAATAAAAAGATAATTATATAACAACTTTAATTTATATAGGAGAGGGCAATAGTTACCCAAGATGTCTTCAGAATAACACATAAGGAAAAGTGATTGACATGATTGAAGACACAATATTGTACAATTTGTAAAACTAGACTGAAGCAGCAGCAAACAAAGAGCCCATTTATGTCGTCCCACGCCAAAAGACTGTAGGTGAGAGAAGCCAAAACGTTTTAAATAACCATGCGGCTGCCAGAGTCCAGGGATATGGGGTACTTTGATTTCCGGTGGGAGAAGATAACAAAAGTTAACAACTTTACATAAAGGAAAAAAACATCGGATGAAGAAGAAAATCTATCTCTGACAGGTGTAAACAAAAAGCTTAAATTATACATTACAGTAATTGGATACAATGTGTATTTGAACTAAATCTGATAAAAGCTGGTTATGTAGTCATCTTAGCAACGGAAAAATATGCTCGTGGCAGAGCCTGCGGGAGCACGAGCAAATCCGCTGTTAAAATCCCTGGACTTTTCATTAGCAGAGGAGTTTTGTACCAGGACGAGGTCGAACACAGGGCCAGCCACGTGGGGTGAGAATGGTCCAAAGGAAGAAGAGCGTTGCAGGGGAACTGCATTATGGAGAAGGTCGGTGAACGATAAAGAGGTACAATATCAGAATCAGAATAATTTTTACTGCCACGTAAGTAACAAACAAAAGCCATTTGCGGCGAAGTGGCATGCTATATAGATTTCTAACCACCGGAACTGGGTTGACAAGGGTTTTTGGTCTGAAACTAGGCATTGCAATGTCAGAGGCCATACAAAAATTACAATTTACAAATCTTGTAATTCACCATAAAGTTCACACACAAACTAGAGTATAATGAGGTTTATTATTTTACAGTTTTTAATGCATTAGTCAAAAAACTTTGACCTAAAACCCTTGGGATGAATCATTCTCCAGCCACATTATCTTAAATGATTAACATCTAGGGGTGCAACGGTTTGAAAAAATCACGGTTCGGTTCGTACCTCGGTTCAGAGGCCACGGTTCGGCTCATTTTTCGGTTCATTTTTCAAAAAAAAAGTGTTGTCTTTTTAATAAACACAGCTCATGTGGACTCGGCACCTGCTCTGACTGCCCCCCCTGACCTAGAAATGAATTAAGGGGAAGGAAATGGATGGATGGATGGAATATTCCATCCATCCAATTATGTCTATTTAACATAATTAATGAAAAACAACACAAAGTGCAACATAAGAAGGCACTTTATGAGGATATTTACTCTCATATATTACACCACCTTCCTGATTCGAGGAGGTGCTCCATTCTGGGCCCAGCCTCATTCACTGCATTTATTTAATTTTTGGCATTATCAGTTGTGACTGGGATATTAGTACTGGGCCTTTGTCTTCCATTCCTCCGCTGCTTGTGTCAGTACCTGCGCTGGGTGACTGTGTGACTGTGTGACTGTTGTAGAGGGGGCGTGTCTGCAGCGCCAGACTTTTCATCTCCCAGTCTGCGGTGATGAAGTGAGCGGTTCCGCTCATGGATCTATTATAGGTTCTGCGGGACGTCCAAGCGTCAGTCGTGAGCGCAGCTGAGGATGCGCGGGAGAGTTGACTTTAGCCCGGTCTGACTGTGTGTAAAGGAGCTGCTTAAATGCCGCGACAATAAGCGGTCGTTGAGACGCTTTTTTCACTCATGTCTTTCTTGTGCCACAGTGCTTACACATCGTGACAGTTTTGTCGAATATTAATTATCAGTGTAGTTACAGTGAAGCCAAAATGCTCTCATACTGGGGATTTAAATGACGCGGGGCTTTCAAGCATCTCCGTTCCTCCGCTCGCAATGACCACGCTGTGTGTGGACTGAATAACGTGCGCACAACTTTTTTTTCATAAATCAAACCGCGGATCACGTCTGTACCGAACCGAAGACGTTGAACCGAACGGATCACGGATCAGTGATGAACCGTTGCACCTCTATTACCATCCCAACAAACCAACAGGAAAGCAGAGGGCGGATATTCAAACATTCTTTTCAAAACACTGACGAAATAACTGCGTGATGAGTTTTGTGTCTGGACTGGACACTTAATTAAGAATTTGGTGAAACAGCAGAGAAGTAGTAATAATCTTACTTGTGGTGGCCTTTCTGGTATGGGTTCGTTTCGCAGAGCTTGTAGAGCCTTCATAGCTGCATTGTGTCGAGCTGCTTGGCGAGTGCGTCCTTCTCCAATGAACTCATGGCTCCCCACAGAAAGCTGCACATAGAAGATCTTAGGAACAGGATAGTGGTACCTGAAACAGAAGAAAAACAACAAACCATACTTCAAAATGAATTCCACATGATAATTAAGGCCTAAAGGATAATGTTAGATTAATATGTTTACAGACTGAAGTAGCAAGACAGCACCAAGGATTTAAAGCCAAGTTATCAATTCACACCTTCCAAATAAAGGCCCACCACTTCATCAGGGTCAATTACTACACAATAGCCATTTAGCCGGTCGCTTGATGGATGTTTCACCGTTGGATCTAAAAGTAGCAGCGGCAAACAAAACCCTGGCACTTATGTATTCGCAGCTCTTTCTTCTGGCTTTGAACATAGATTCCCCTCTCTTTCTCCGGGCCCTGACAGAGTGGGACTGAGCTGTCACCCAGCAGATTTAGAGGTCTGAGAGTCCATGTGCTTGATACCTCCCTTCTGGGCCTGGAGGAGAAAGGCTGAGAAATAGTGGGAAACTTAACAAGAGAAATAATTATTAATATCAGTCTCACCGCACAGACATATGCCGATGTATAGACACATGTGGTAGCTCCCTATAATACAGGCTAAGAGTCTTTGTTGCTACTAAATGTATGGGCTTAAAAAAAGGATAGTACAGTGACACATTTTTTAAAAACTGTATGCACATACCCAGAAATAATTTAGGTTTAGCTTTGTTCTGTAATCAAGCAGTTCAGAAACTATACATTTTTCATTTGGAGGATATATTCATTTTATACTGGACCACAAATCATTCTAAAAAGTTACTGTAGTAAGGTTTTCTGTGTCACAAAAGGAGTAAAAAAAGGTGGTGTATTTGATTTCTCATGCACATCCTTTTACACATTATTTCAAATGACCGTATATTAGAGGTAGGACGATATGGTTTTTTTACAGCTGAGAATTAGCTAAGGAGGCCCATAACAATATATAGAACAGTAAAGGTGCAAATATGTTTATTTAAAAAAAAATAGCTTTAATATTTTAAGTAACAGCAAAATTGGAGAGATAAAGTACTCAGACACTTTATGGCTCAAGTGTTCGAGGCTGGTTTGGTTCAATTCAATCATTACTGAAATCCTTTTTGTTACATATATTGTGATATACAAAAGTAATTCTATGATCAAAGCATGAATATTGATTGATAATGTATAATTATAAAACAACAGCTCAGTGTATTAAAGTGCTCCAACAATTCAATCATGCCCGGCCCATTATGAAAAAACCTTCAATACCAATATTCTCGAGCACAGATATTCTCGAGTACCAGCAGCCTGGCCGAGGCTGAGCCAGCCCTAGCACGTCAAGTGTGGCCCCAGGGTCTCCATGGACATGCCAAATGCAACATGGGCCCGAGCCAACAGTGGGGCCGTCATGTGAACAGCTGTGTCGGCGGCACAGCGTACAGGTGCAGAGGAGGAGAGAGGGAGCATGGAGGGCGACCAGTGGGAGACCCCAACTACAACGTGGGAAAGTAGCAGCTTACACAAAAGTTTGTCTACAAAGAACAAAAGCCTGCACACGCGCTCTTCAAAATTACGCACACAAAGAAATGAGTTTCACAACAGTATGCGAAAACTGGTTAAGGAATCAGGCCTCAGAGGCTGCATTAGCAGGGCTTTGTGATCCATTATTTTTCTGTTTTTATAACTCCTGCAGGGAGGGAATGGGAGCAGGACACCTACAGGGCGGCTGTGGAAAAACACTGCTGCCTGATAATGTTTGGCTCAGACGTGAGAGTGAGAGAACAGACAAAAGATGCCACCATTTCATCAAATGATAAGTGATCAGTGTTGAGCAGCAGGTTATGAATCAGGATTAAATAGACTTTGAAGGCAAATGCATTCCAGCAGCTGTCTTTGATGGGCAGCACAGTAGTAAAGGTTAGCGTTTAATCTTTTATAACATAAGGCAGCTGGCATCAGACCACACACACGAAACATTTGATAGACATTTTCTTTAAATGACAGGAGTGAAACTTTTAGTATGCCTATACATCTATGAGCTAAACGTGACATCGATGTCAAGCTGCATGTCATGCATATGCATCGATAAGCAAGCATGCAGCATATATATATATATAGGTATATATATCTATATATATATATATATCGATGAGCATGCAGCTTTGAAGGAGAGTGGGCAAACAGAACACATTATTTTTTCAAATAATGTCAAGGATTAAGGGGCTTTAAAAAAAAAATGAAAAAAAAAAACGTTGGAAAAGGTCTCTCGTCTTTCCCAGCTGCACTTACTTTCAATCTGCTGCCAGATCTACACTTGTTTTTACTCCTAACTCCTTGGGTCCATACTTCATGTGTGCGTCCACAAGATTGCATTTCTTTTCTTCCGCCTCACGCGATTGCTAATGTAAGAAAGACATTGTGGTGTGAGAAGACAGGGTAGTCAAGTAAACATTAGGCCCAAAACAAGTGTCATGACGTGGGAGGTAGTTTTCAGGCACATGTGGGGTTTGGAAACCACTAATGCAGAGGGGAAGACGGGGAGAAATCTTGGTAAAAGCAATGGTTTCACTTAAAAAGGTGCATTCCTCAATGGTAGAGGGTCTGCTTTTGTCTTTGGTACATCTAAACGATCATGTTTTGCCTTGAATGTCCCACAGTATGGCCTTATACTTTTCCATCTTCATAGGGGACTTCACTTCAGCCAATTCCATGTCACTAAACTCACATATGTAAAAACTGCCAAAAAAACATAATATTTGCCATATTTGATCAATTATGCTGGATGAGAGAAACTGGTTCCACCAGAACGACTAGTTCCCGATTTGCAGCACTGTCCAAAGTATGTTTGAAAGGACCAGACCTGCAGCCCTTTTTGTGTGTACCAGAGCCATGCAACGCTGTCTTACATAACTTATGGTATTTCAATTAAATTGTCCAAGCTGACAGTGTTCATAGTTTAGTGCTGTTTGTTGTGGTTTTGTGACAGAGAACAAGATGAAAGCCCTCTGTACGAGGCCTGTAATAAGAGCGGGTGTCACTGGCCTCCTTGGGTGACTGCTGCATGAGAAGTCACATCCCAGCACATGTGCAGCTAGCCCACAGCATCAGTCGTCCTATTATTTTGGGCAATAACAGCACATTAAGGAGGATGATTTACTGCTCCGAAGTTGACAAGTAGCATGAGAATAAATGCAAATGTTTTACCAAGTGAAAAAAAACTTGGCTTCTGGTACAATAGTAATAAAAGGAACAGCTTGAAAATAATGGTTATTGCAGCTATTATTTCTACACTGACTGAAAACAAGGATTGCATGGATAATAGTACATAGAACAAGATCACAGAGTAATTATGACCTTGTGGCTTTTTGTGATGAAGCAAACACATGAGAAGAAGCCTAACTGTTTATGGTGTTTTAGTGCCAACTGTTTGGACTGCAGCTGGCTAAAGATCAGGACATAATTACATCTTGTGGTCCTCATTAAGGTCATTACAAATGGAACCTGCTGTTTTATACTCATTGTCATTAACTTCTCAGGTCCGCCCACAATTTGAGTGTATTTTAAATCAAAATACTTGCTTTAGCGAGGTAAATTGAAAAGAAGTCTATAGTTAGCACAACCGCATAAAACCCAGTGCCCAGGAGAGCTTGGGATCAAACATAGATTATGAACATAATTATTTGGGGGCAGGACTTTGTGCAAAGCTTCCAGAGTTGCATGATATTACATGAAGAGCACAAGCAGAACACAACAGTAATGTAAATGGTAAGGACACAGAGCAGATCGAAAAAAGAAAAGTTAGAAAAAGATAGATGAATTGCACGGCTCACACTGATCCTTGAAAGTCCTGACACCTACAACCTGAAGCCAGTAGCAGCCAAATCCATTACCCTTGGAAGCTTTTGTAAGGATGGAACACTAAAGACTTTTTGAAGGCAGTATTTACAGCACCACATCACATTCATCGAAGGTCATTTTTAAGCCTTGTTAATGCCTTGCATTATCCTTGATGATAGGATCAGGGAAGGAAAACAAGAAACAAACAGGTTCAGAGAATTCTTCTTCAGATAAAATTACCTACATTGCACTGCATACATTAGACAGCATTGTATTCAATCAAGTGGTAATCAATTTAGGTGGTGATTTTGCATAGGTCCTTCTAATGTTCACAAGCTAATTTCATTTTTTTAAACTTTTTGGTTCAGTATTTGAAATCTAAACAGCTGTCAAATCCAACATCTACATAGAGATTAGACTCAGTGTAACAATGACTCACTTATTTACAGCACTGAGGGTAGTAAGTAAGTAGTAAGTAATCTTTATTTATATACCGCCTTTTCACTGCACATTGGAGTCTCAAAGCGGTTTACAATTGTTATTTTTGGGAGTGGGGGTGCCAGTACAGGAGGCACATGCCAGACCTATTGTACATATTTTTAGTGGTAGGGGAAACCGGAGCACCCGGAGGAAACCTACGCAGACACGGGGAGAACATGCAAACTCCCCATACAATACCCCACGACAAAGAGTCTCCATTAGATTATTTTTTGTGTTGTGAGGTTGCCGTTGTGTTGAGTATTTGCATAGAGCAGATGTTTATAGAAAAGTAACCCGACTAAATCAACCGTTCAAGCCAAAAGCTTTGCCCAACAAAAGCATTGAATTGCCTTGTATATTGTGGTGAGACAATCCTTACACTCTTTGTGCATTGAGGAAAATTCCCAAGTATATTCGGGAGAAAGGAGATGTAAGTGTATGGCTTGTGTGTCACTGAAGGAGTGCAAACCATCCCAGGCGTCTGTTTACATTGGATCCCGTACTCATGCTCCTCCCCCAAACTCTCCTCAATAAAAACACTGCTTTTAATGAGTTTACACCCATTTGTACAATTTGGACAGATTATCCTTTGTTCTGGAATGTTGCCCAAAGCAATTTATGAAGCGTAGAATCAGATAGCATACATCTGACTGAATGCAGCAGATTTACTAGTCATTGTGGATGCGTTTTTGACTGGAGTAATGCAATAAAACGCCGTTCCTCTGAAGTCTCTACCTTGTGGGCTTTGGCAGGCTTGCGAGGTTTGGAGCGGTGATGACAAGACAGATAAAAGAAAACATAACTGAGGAATGCTAGCTGTTGGATGAAGAAGTACATTGTGTCCCGGTTTTGCTATGAGATTTTAAGTCCCACTAGGCCAGCAAGGGTCTCTTATAAAAAAAAACTTGAGCGAGAATTGTGTGCGTGATGAGGACATCTGATGCCGACATGAGAGGAAACATTGAATATAGAAAACGCCTTTTGGGCAGATTTGTCTTGTTCAGCGAGACAGGTTGGCCCAATTAGAAAGTAGATGACAAAGTGCAGTGCTGAATGTGTGTCTAGTGTTGTAGTGGAGAGCTGCAGGCGTCAGTAGGGTACAGTTTTCAAGGATTTCTCCAACTCTCTATATAGACACACACAATGTGAGGAAGGTTGTCAACGAGCTTACAAGGACGCTGTAATTAAATAGTGAAAATGAGAGCATTAGAAGCTTTTGCACAATACAGTAAGAACCAATAGGCTGGGAGAACAGAAGCATTTTAGATACATGTATCCTCCAACAGCTGATGTATTTGTTTGATTGCATTGAATGTTGCAGTCCTAGTTTGAAGTTTACACTTAAAGATGAGGCTCATGTAGTGATAAAACAAATAGTGATGAAACAATCCAAATATTCACATCATTGTAAACGCATCTTTCGACATTGAGTAGGTCATATTTTGCAGAGTTTGGAAGTCAGTGAAGCCCTCACTTCCACAGTTGTGGGCATCAGAGGCGGCTGCACTGTGCTCTTTAGCAACATTCCAGCATTTTTTTCCACATGCGAGCCAAGAACAGAAGTCGATATAGTATAATGAATAATTTACTTCCATAAACTAAGTGTACGCTAAGCACACTATTAATGATTGCTTTCTATATTTATTTTTTAACCACCAACAGAGAGAAAACATTGCATCAGAGCGATGATGTTTTAAAACACATCCTATTCAAAATTGTTAATTTAACTGAAGTATGTTTGGCTCCTTTTACTCCTCTACACTATTATTTAAGAAAAAGGAGTAGAGCACTACACTGGATCCCGTTAAAATCCAGATATATTAACAGAGCAGGTGCTCATTGATGGTTAGAGCAGATTCACAAACACCTCAGATTGCAGTGGATATCTTAAATTCCTTACTGGAGTTTTCTCATTTTGAAGAAATAGTTTTTTTCTTATGTAACTAACATGCCAGCATGATACTTGAGTGCCCTGCTTCAGAAAAATTAAAAGTAAAAAGCAACAGAAATGCAACAGATTTTTGAGCAGAAGAACAAAGGATGGATCATGATTAATACAGGAAAACCTAAAAAAGTGTTTAAGAGGTTCCCAGGCTCTATTGTGAATAAAATCAAGACATTATTCTTGTTATACCTAATGAAAACATGAGTCATCAACAGTCAGCACAAATTTTCTCCAATATCGACAACAAGAGTCTGCACCAGATGAGTAGTGGGTGGCTTCAGACTGTGCTGCCTTGCTCCAACAGGGAAAGTCCTATTCCAAATTACTTCCGTGACACACAATGTAGTCCCTCCACTGAGACCAGGAGGAAACCTCAGATTTGGAGGAGTCCACAATGAGTCAAGGCAAACAGGTGTTTCAATGATAACACAGGAGCGGGGATTGTCCATGAGGAAAGCGTTGATGCAACTGCATAACTTGATAACCCAAATATTTTCCTTAGTGGTAACGTCTGTGAATCATTAGGGACACATTTTCTAACAATGTTGCATAGTGTGGTCAGATATTGGTATGAATTTGAAAAATGAAGAGAAGGAGAATCAGTATTTCGGGATGAACAATGTTCCTGCATTAGGACTGCTATAATTCTCGGGTTTAAGCATAGACGTGGATGGTCGAGTATAATGCCAAGACCCTTCACCATAAATAAGATTCATTAAGACACAGATAAATGCACTTTTCATATTATTGCAGTATTTTCTCATCAGGGCACTTTCTGAAGGAATCAATAGTGGTCGAGGTGGTGATTAGTGCACTGATGGATCAGAGCCAGGCTGCCCTTTTAATGGTTGGATTCTCCATCAACATGACTCTGGATCACTCTTATTCATCATAATAGGTAAGGACATTGGATATATGGAAACGTTTCCTTGGCTGTAGCATCATTAGAGTGACTGATAGTGGACATCGCCCGTCACTCCAGTGCATATTCAGTCATCTTATGAAGAGAATTCATATTCACTTTCATTAATAAAAGCCTTGACCACACTAAAAGAAGGACCTTATGAAAAAATGAATGACCTTGGTCGGATATAAGTGTTTGGAGTGTTCCTGGCGCACACCCCCGTCACAAAAGCCATCACAGTGACAGATGACATTGACAGACACATGCTGGAAAACAGATTTTCAGCTCTACCCTGCAGACATTTGTCTTGCACCCCCTGTTTGTTCCTGCACGGATCAAATAGAAGAAGATGTGAGCCAGATGCTAGACTATCTGCTGACAAGACACACCTATGCAACACAGCAACTGAATCAAATTGACTGACACTGGCTGTGCATTTTACTTTCAAACATCTCCACCTTTATCCTCAGAAGCACTGTCTTGGTATTTACAGAAGGTGTATTTAGCAATACAACAAAAACAAATTTATTTTATTCTATCTAATCTAGGCCCTACATGTCAATTAAAGGAATCACGTGAACACTCAATTCATTACATTTCAGGAGAATATGTTGCAAAATGGGTGCACTATGTATATTCAGTGTCCAGAAAGAGCTTTTTGGAATGAGGAAACACTGCCACCTAGAGGACATTTTTGCGAGTTAGCTCCAAGCAAAACTATTTAGTAACGTGGATCTCATAACTCACTTCTCTCGAAATTCTGAGATTACATTGTATACATTTCAGTCGAAATACAAAGCTTCAAGCACGTGATATATTTTCTGGTTAAGTAAAATGTAGATGTTTTGCCTCTTTGAAGTACCTTTATGAAGTTGCTATGCGCTTCTTAAATAACTAACATTGGGATTCCCACACTCCACTAGTTCGTCAGTGGGTGATGGATAACATCAAACACCTCTAGAGTCCAGCATACCCACCCGTCTAAGTAATGTTACATCACTTACTGAGAGCTCATCATTAATTGCAGCACTGTGACACTTTTATGGCGTTGGTGAAATGGCTGAATGGCTCCAGTAAAGCAGACACAAAGTCAAAAGGAAACAAGGAGGCTGACAGAGACTGAGTGTAAGAGGATGCCACAAGGGCAACACGTTTCATCAGTTTTGGAACATATGGGGCGCAGGGTCTGGGTCCGACACACATCTGAGCCCAGGGGGATCAAAGAAACAATGCCGGATGAGGCCACTGGAAATACATCAAGCCCATGTCCGTATAATACTTGCACCAAGACTAACTGCGCAGCCATCCATCTCCAACAGAAGAAATAATTCAAAACATTTCTAATTTAGTCCGTGCAGTGGTGAGAATGATTGCTTGCCTTTGGTTGAACATCCCTCTGAAGTTGTAGTTTGCTCTGTAGTTGGGCATGGGTTTAGGATCCAAAGGCCGGTAGATAGCAGGCTCCCCTCTCTTCATTGCAAGACCATTCAGCTCCACTGTTGGTGTGATACTGCCTGCACAAACCAAATTAAGCCAGTAATAATGGAATGTATCTATTCTGGAAAGAGCTACTGTAGTACTGTTAAAAATATCTAGTCATAAAACATGTTAATATATTGGTGACAGCTAAAAGAATGCATTTACAAGGATAATAGAGAATCAAATTTAAAAGCATCCTTTCTAAATCCTTTGGGTATCCACTTAAAGCTGGAGTACCTATCTTTGAAACCACAAAATTAACTATGTAATGAAATTCATCTCAGAGTTCCTGGCTTTCACAATTACTACTTTTCACATGTATTTCTCGCCCCTGTCACTTATTTAGATCAGCTAATTCAGAAAGAAAAGTGAAAATGAGAGGACCAAAACTACTCAACCTGTTACCTGATAACATGTTACTTAAACAAGACTTTCTGTTGGGACAAACAAAAGACATTTATGAAACAGATTTACTGGGTGTATACAGAGATAAAGGTAAAGTTTGGTAGCCCCTGCTTTAATCCAATGAATACAAAAAATCTAACTGGATTCGACACAACTTTCAAAAGTAGTTAATTTACAGAAAAGATACTTCCATTGCCTTCTTATATTGCATTACCACTGAGACAGGTGAACATCAGATTGTGTACCTGGGTTGCTGTTGATGTCCACTTTTGGGGAGCGTGGCGCAGGTCGGGGAAGAACACTCTCGTCCAGAGCTTTAGCAGCAGTGGAATGCTGGGCTTTTTTGATGCTTGTGCCTTCAGCTTCCCAGACCTGCTCCCCAAGAGTCAGCTGTACAGTGAATATCTACATAATTACAGAAAAACATAACATAAACACAAACTCTTCATTAATAATAAATGCATAACAAATAATAAAACCTTTGCGTGTGCAGGCCCTCGCTCGTTGAGCAGCTTATACTGTGGTTGGATCCTATTAAAACGGGCTAACTCATTCACCAAACACATCGGAGTTTTCTCTTTAGGGTTTGCCATGTTCTCCTGGGATGGGCCTGGACACAAACAAACAAATGAGACAATTATAATATAATGTTTAATCTCTGAAAAGGGAAAGCATGGTATAAAACATGCAAAAATAGTAATAACAAATGTCAGAAATGTCCATTTTGAAAGACATTACTTTTGATTGTTTATTACACATAATCTGTTACTGAAAAGGAAACGTATCTACAATAAGATCACTTTTATCTATCCCACAGCAGGATGCACTTCAGTGACAGCAACAAATAATATCACACTTTAGAGAGTAGGCTACCTGGCGATAAAGCAGACACAGGGGTGTCCCCATATCCGCCTGCAGGAGCAGGGCAGCCGGATGTGGGGGCTGGGGCTGGACTGGTCCCGTTGACAGAGGGCTGTAGACTCAGGGCTCCAGGGCTGGCCACGGCCGCTGCAGGAGCTCCAGGGGAGAGGCCAGGACCAGCCAGAGGCGCCGAGGTCTGTACTTTCACTTGAGCCATGCTCTTTTTCTACAAAAGCATGTTCAAGCAAACTTTTAGTCTTTACATACCAAGAACAATGTGAATGTATTCTTTCTCAGCACAGATTTTGCTTTGTAGCCTTTTGTTTTTAAGTGGAGCAGAATATCAGGACAGACAACTGAGCAGCTATAGGCCAACAGCTCACGTTCTTATCCAAACTCTAATACAAGCAGACAATATTCCTTTATTGAAGAAGCTTCGCTCATGTTTGCTCAAAAAGCAACACAGTGATGTCTCCTCTCCACCAAGACAGTGGGTGTTAGATTATGCTTAATTTAATCCAGTACATACATGAATAACAGCACTCATCAACCATGGCTTCAATCTTCATATTTAGGTTGAAAGACTTTATTATTTGAATAAAAATAAATCGTAATTAATAAATTATGTGCCATTCAATGTTAATAAATTGTTATTTTTTCTAATCAATCTATGTTCCGCTTTCAAAAGGCATGAAAGTTTGTATTTTATATATTGTACAAGAAACGATTGGTGTTCATTGATATGCACAATGCACTAAAAATACAATACACATTCAACTACTTATGGCATCTGATGTAGTCAATACATAAACAAACACATTGCCTCTTTCAGTTTCTTAATAGTTATTGAATACAAATATCAATACAATAATCAATTTGACATAACGCGTTTTATGTGAGTGTGTATGAGAGGGTAATATGTGAATAACAAGACATGAAATGACACAATTGTAGTCAGTCCTAATCAAGTGTAATACTTACTAACACAATTCAATAACTGCTAGTTATTCAAATGTATCTGTATCTGAATGAATATATAGTCATTTCATGTCTTGTTATCCACACATATATATATGTATCACTATGACCTATGCTTAATGCAACAGACTGTAAAGCAATGAAGCAGGTACAGTGTACTTATGGTATTGAGACCTCAAATAAGAACAAGATGCAATGATTGAGATCTGTACTAAGAAAGAGCATGAAACAACACCTTAGAATAGACCCATGTTTTGTTCATACTTGCATATCGATACTCGTGCAGTGATTGTAAACGTGCACTAGTGAAGCTGCCCAGTAATATGCGAAAGGCAGAGCTCCCCTGAACCCACCAACTGAGAATGCTAAGCAGAAAGCTAAACATCAACCATATCAACGTTTACTGCAAATGTCAGTCACTAAAATTAAGACTAGATGACCAGTGATAGAGCATGCATTTGCGAGTTGTATCATTGCAATCTAGAAAATAGTGTAAAAGATCATATTTGTCACATCCAGCTACGCTAGTTTAGCCGGTGGAGCTCATCATGGCTGCACGGCCCGATGCCCCTCTGCTGCTAGCATCTCCACACGGACACATCCTCCGCCACACTCTGGCCTTTTCATTCGCCTGCTACATCCCACAAGGACTGACAAGAGTGTGCCTGGCGCCCTTAAGACCACACGACTACAAAGGGACAGCGTTTAAGGTTATATTTTACCTTTATCCAGGGCCAGACCCCCAGTTACACCTCCAACATTGGCAAACACTAAAGAGAACTGGATGAAGTGGGGCCAGACCACCGCATTCGTCAATCAATCACATTTACTCAAATTAAGGGAATAGGGTGTGCTTTGGTCTTTTGTTTTAAAGTATGCGTGTTTCTTTCCACGAACATACTACACGTTCATTTGTGTAGCGCTTGCAAAGGGTGTTGTAGGAATGACTGCTGAATGAATTGCACACCCGCGCCCCGCGCCAATGGTTTCGTCCTAGTTCGTTCCCTCAGCCCTCTCTCATGCTATGAATTTCTGAATGCAACTTTATAAAGATGAGAGCTGTTCTATGAGTGCATCACTTTCACTTTTCACTGCAATTCAAGACGGTCTCAACCATTGGTAAAAACCTATAATGATAATATAATAATAGTAATAATATTAATACAAAAGTAGGGGTTGAACAGTCTATGGGTTAAACCTCCCAAAAAACACTTAAACTAATTATTTGTGTTATTAGTGATCCTACATTTTAGAAAATCCAAAAAACAACTAAAATCCATTGCTTTCTTCAAGAAGTGAACATTAAAAGGGTAATGCTTTGGACTGAGAGGGTGGTCCTTTCTTTTTCACTTTTCTGTCTGAAACAAGGATGTGATAGGTAAAATAATACGTGTGATAGAATCATCCTCATCTCCAGCTTTATAAGATATTATTCAGCCATTAGCTTATATTATGGTTTTTCCTTCTCAAAATAAGATTTATAACTTAACATAATAGACAGGCTTACTTACCTCCATATCTTTGTTTCCGAGTCACATAACATTTTTTTATCAGTGTACTAACATGCTTATCCCAAGGACAGGAACAGAACTTCCCTTTTGATACTGGCATGAAGATAATTTGGAAACCATAATGTTCAACTAAGAAGCTATGTAGAACTAGCGATGTAACTAATTTAAATTGTAACATATTTGACCATTCGTGATGAATGTGTGCAATAGAGCTAAGAGGCAAAGTTAATAAAAGTGAACCTTTGTTTTTATTATTATCGATTATGAAAATGAACAGGCACCTATAACATAGAGCTTGCACATCCCAAAAAAAGTCAAAATATAAATAAACATGCCCTCATTAGTGTTGATCACCCAAAACATCCTGCAATAACTCAATCCACAAAAAAAAAGATCAGGAAAAATAAAAAAAAATAAAGATCAGGAAAAAACATAACGCAATCAAACCCCAAGTAACAAGTTCACTTAAAGCATTTCCAAATCAAAACAATCTACTGCTCAAACTTTAATGACTGCATGTGTACAATTCCCAAGTCTTTCCTTACAGCAGATGCTGTTTCAATGAAACTAAAATGTTCATTGCTTATAGGAAAAGTCCTAGTTGGATAGCCATGTGCTGTAATAATCTCATTTAGTTTCACATTCACACATTCAGGAAACTAAAATCAGGGGAAAAAAGCAAAAAGTAAAGATGGAAAATTCAAGTATATTTTACCGGATGGCGATAAACTCTTATTTAGGAATGGAGTGATTAAAGACCTAGAGCCACACAGCCTCCAGAAGTGAGGTTTTATCATAATAATTAGTAAAATGTAAAGACATATAGCTGTCACAATGTCCAATGCCAATAAGAAAAAGTAGGGTTTAAAATGCCATGCACCCCCACCAAAAAACTACTTAAATTTATGTTTTAAGATGAACTGTACAGGTCCTAATAATAAGCAATCAAAAATTCAAATAAAGCACTCCTATAATTGCTATAAATAAAAACGCATCCTCTAATTTATTTTACATCTTCCAACAATTGTACTGTACAATAACTTAAGACATGTTATTTTACAACATAACAGTCTCTTTTGGTGAAAATATAATTCAAAATATTTGATAGGTTATCTTTTTTAGAGCTGATCTATATATTGAAAAAAGTACCTGAGCCAAAAACTCTGACCAGGAAATAAAACTCCGTTCATCGACTCCTTTTTCCCAACTTTTCTGACCTTGATAGCTTAAAATAAAAATCTAAACAGTACTGACCCATTTAACAAAATAGAAAGGTACACCATTTACATAAAAAACAAACAGAAATAAAGCGTGACTTAAACAAAAGATCCACACGATTGAAAACGGATGAAACAATAAATTGCTGCACACATTCGTAAAATGGAAGCAAACCGCGGTTGTACGTCTCGAAGCCTCAGGACACTACAGCGCCCAGCCCGACTGTGAGACTGGTAAGAGCACCGCCATCCCTCCACACTCCCTCTGTACCTCAGCCCAATGGAAGATGGACATGGTTAACATTTGAAAACTTTAGTAACAAATCTAATGCACGTAATATAACCGCATGGAGCACTTCTCAAAAGTTTGGATAAATGATCTTATAGTGCCAATCCTGCATTTACTTTCACAGTGCATATAATAGTAGAAATAAAACGATAGATGTAGCATTATCTTGGGATTGTGTCAGTCAAATCCATCCCGGGAAAAAACTTTGGATTCGTAGGCCCAAGCATGCATCCATCATTTCTTATTGCACAACACAAGGACCTAATAGACTGCACCCTCACTCAAATAAAAAGAAAAACAACAATACTAATCTTAAAACAAGAACAATGATCGTACTATGAATGCTTCCTTTTTGCATTACTACTAGTCCGTTCTGGGTGGATTAAACGTTCTGTTACATTAGAACTGACCAAAACATGTGTCCGTCCACCGTTAGAAAAATGCAGTCAGGAGCATCCAACGCAGTAGTCCACTGTGCCAGTCATCGATCAGAGTTCAGAGACTGAATGATTTTAAAAGTGCTTATGTAGTTCAGTAGGACTCCATTTATTCCACATTTAAGTTTGTGTATAGACACACAAACTTATTTTACATACATTAGCATGTATCATCTGCCGAACAAAAGATAAGATATAAGTATAACAATAATAATATAATAATAGGAAACTAGAAACCATTTTAAGGGAAAACTTACCATGATACCACCATTTTGTCTTCTTTGGATTTTTGTTGCACGTTCTTACATAAAATGAATTATCTGGGGGTCGTCTCTGCAGTAGAAAAGTTCAATTAATTCACAGAAAGTATTACATACCAACTAAATTAGCATCATGACCTTACCTTCTCTTTGCAGCTTGACAACATGCTGATAATGCTAAGACAAACAGATTGCACTGAGAGGGCTGGTGACCAATCCTCCGTTAGAATAGATAAACAAATGTGGCCGTTGCTATACACATGAGGATGGACAGGTACATTCTCTCCCGTGAACATTACCTGCAACCAACACCAAACAAAGAATTTACACATGTAAAAATCTAAATGATGACGTCACAAGTAAACAAGGGATGTTTGTTAAAAGATTTGTTGCAATCTGGACGGAAATGATTTGAATGCCAAAGATAATTCTTCAGGAAGCAGGATAGGTTGTTCATTGTGTCTCTCGGTGATTTACTTAAATGTGGGGAATATGCATCTTACAATAGTGCTTAGTGTTTGGGTTAATGGTGAGGATCCCAGCACATCATCATTGTCTTTCAGACAAAGATCATGATATACAAAACTTGAGATCATAATTTCTCTACATTAGCCCTTCTGGGTCAATACCTGCTGCTCCTTCTAGTCCCCATGCTCTTATAGTAAAGGGCAGAGTGCCACCCAGTGGACGCAATTTCTCTAAAACTTGGTAATGGGCAAGGAACCAATAATACTGTTTTGGGGGTGATCTGGGTCACCAGACTTTTTTTTTTAACAGTATAAAACTGTGCCTTTTGGTGGAGGTATGAGTGCATTTCTACTCTATTATCATTATTATTATTAATAAACATAGAATTAATAGAAAGTAAGTCTAACCACAATAGAATAAGTAAACCGACTGAAATAGGCCAAAGTTCAGGAATGCACTTAAAGATTATTTGTCTCTTTTCTATCTTTGTGAGTCATGTGCAGATTGTTGGTCGATCATTGTCTGTATACAAATAATAATACATCTATCATCTTTGGATTTACCAAATTAGTACAGTCAATAAATGACATTATTACACGGCTCCTCACAGCAGCAGTAGATCGCTCCATTGATTTGAATGTAATTTAACATTCTACCCGTCATTATTTCGTGATAACCGACCTCTCAAAACAATAATGGCCGCTGCCCATTTCAACGGTCATTATTGTTCACCTCTGCTTGTGATTCAGATGTGTAGAATACTCTGCATGTGATCCGGCCGCTTTGTCGCTACTACTTTCTTTGCGAGAGAAGCTAACGGAGCTAGCCACGCTCAAACGCAAATACCAATCAGCACAATTAAATGTTAATCGGAGAATACATTATAAATATACATTCATAATATGCACAGAGGTTTTCAGAATTATCTGTTAACGTTTTAATGACAAATATACTGTGTTAAAGTGATATTCTGTAACTCTAAATGAATTACACATTTTAAGAGTTGTATTAAATTGACCTCCTGGCCTTAAATGTTGATATAAAATAAGTCATTTTACTAATTCTATTATTACGGGAAAGTCCCGCCTTCCCTTCTCTTAGGTATAGCTCAGAATCCACGGTGCCGTCCACGTTAACCAATCAAGTCATGCCAAGGGCTGTCAATCATCGGCGCTGATGCTCGTAGCTGCACGTATGCTCAGTTGTTTGTTTTCGCGGAGCTTCCGATTCAAGCCTCTAATAGGCTCTAAAACTACATGAAAACTGAACAAAGAATTCTGAACATGCGCGCTGAGTTACCCATTTATATACTGAACCCTATATCCATAATCAGATGCCATAATCAATCCTCTGCAGATGTCTCCTATAATGTGCAATTAATGAAATTAGCTACTTCCGGATTTGCCGTGATCGCTTTTTTTGTCCATTAAAACATTTTTTTTCATGAAAACGTTACCAAATAATTCTGAAAACCTCTGTGCATGTGTATTAATAATGTATGTGTATAATGTGTTCTCAGATTAACATTTAAATGTGTTATGGAAACGTAGGCACAGACCAATCGTTTTTTTCAAATCAAGTACCTCTCTCTCTCTCGTTTTCTGAAAAACTGCAGACAATCACTTTAATGCGAGAAAAAGCGATCGCGATAAACCCGGGTACATTCCGGGACATTGTAGGACACATTTGCAGAGGACCAGATTTAGGTTGAGTTTATGTTTGGGTCACTCACAGCTGATGTTCAAAATTCTTTGTACAGTGTTCATGCAGTTCAAGAGAGTTCTAGTTGGAAGTTGCTAGCCTCACTTGCATAGCCACGGGAAAACCTTTGGGAACTATTTTATTTGCAGTCATTAAATAATCCTTTCGGCATTCCTAAAAGTGGACTGAAGTTTATTTTGTCTGTTCTGTTGGCACAAAGCCGTATAATAAGCGGGATAATGTATAGTAGGCAGGTCATTATCGGAAAATAAGTACAGACAGGGCAAAGCGGACCCCAACGTGCAGCGGAGGCGTCTGCTTCCGTCCTGTCATTGAATTACTTATTCAATGACATTGACAAAAGAGCAACTTGCCCTCTCAGGTTTGGAAATAGTGTAAAGGCCCAGCACAGACGACTGAAGCCCTTTAGAAACAGATATCTGGTACCAGAACAGCCACTTTAACTCAAAGTGAACAGAAATAAAGCACATCTTAACATGCTGCTGCGGAATAAACGCTAATATTTCACCAAATGTTTATGACCTAATGCTGCACCATACAAGGTGAAGGTGAAACAGAAGTTTTCGGTGGAGTAGAATGAGCAGCGTTTAGCCTGAAATACAGAATGTTTGTAAAAGGCTAGGGTAGAGATAGGCAGATAAGCAACGTTGACATAAAGTATCTGTATGTCCTGTCAGCATTATTCATATAATGTATTTCATATTATCATGTTATTATAATCATACGTGAAAAGAATCTTTATTTTTTTCTACTTTATATGGGTCAGGCACTTTGAATTGTTGAGCAAATCTATACTCCACATGGTGCCTGTGGCAAAGTGTTTCTGGTCTTTTCACTAGTGGAGTTTTTTTGTGAACTCGATTTTACCGGGTTGCACTGGCAACAAGTTAATACACCAAGTTCTTGTCACACATTATCAAAACGTGCTGCTTACCTGAGGTGAATCAAAAGGGTAACGACTACTAAATTTAAAAAGCAGCTGAAATTTCTCTCCTTCGTACAGAGTGCCAGGGGCTCCCTCCATATCCACAATCCACCTGTAAAGCAAAAGAATTTTAAATGAATCACAATCATTTTCAACATCAACAAGTAATAATTTTACATCCTCTCTGACTACAAATTAGATATGACTATAGCAGAGTTCATGACCTCTTTTCTGTTGGTAATCGATAAATGGTTACATCAATATCATGCCTAGTTACAAAAGCTATGTTACATGTGTACTCTAATTTAAACATAGTGAGTAAAAATGCTTGAGCACCTCATATTTCTTTTTTGCTGAAGGACAAAAATATTTCATCTTCTTACATGAAATGTTTATGTTTACATAAAACATGACTTCAATAGGTTTCTTATTCTCCTGACACACTCTTCCTCACAACACTCCTTGCACAGGCCTAAACATGAATTCGATTTAGCCTCTTCTCAGTGATCTTTCGCACCCACAACGACTAATTCAAATCTTTAGAAACGATGGTTCATAAAAACTGCTGTTGTGATTTAGGGCGATATTCAAAAATAAATATTTGAACTGTAATTGAATGAACTGCTGTTCAAAGTTTTGAACATCAGACTGAGTCAGTCAGATCTCAGCCTGTTTCATTTTTTTGATATTATTATGAATCGTGATGATAATTTTGTTGGAAGCATTGTTACCCGCCCGAACACTTAATTTTAAAATTTAGCTCTACCAAGATAAAATGTTTTACTCGCGGTCCTACTTTTGGAGTGTACCTACAACAGTGCGAATAAATACATATAATAAGTATATAACAGGGCTTTTTTTTTTTCAATTTCAAGAGTAGCTATTGACCTATTAACTATTCCTTTAATTTATTATTTACATTTGAATGAATCTGTAAATCTAAACCTATGATTCAATGCGTGAGATATCCTGATCTCATATTGTGATAATACATACTCTTTTTGCACCAAAGTGACAAGAAGGTATTATTCATGGACTATATATCAATTTCAGCCTTGGGCAGTTTGGCATTTATGTTTTCCATTCTTCCTACCAGGTCACAGTCTCTCTGTGGTCAAGTGATCAGCCATTATTCTCAAACCCACATAAAGCACAATGTCAGCTATCTGACTCATCCTCCATCTCTGAAGAGGACATGGCTATATTAAACACAACATGATCAAATTCTGCATCACTTGGCAAATACTGCAGTCACTCAATTAAACTTAGAACACATACTTTCAACTGGAATCCTAATACAACAACATTTCTACACATTATTAACAACAGAACACCAAACATAGCACCTAAATCTAGGAATCTGACTCAGTGTAAAGGCTAGACTAACTGGTTAGGAGACTCTCCTTGAATACTATAATGAAACAATTACAACATTGGCTGCAGATGTAGTCTGACAACGATGCAATATAAACATCTAACAGAACATCCCAGACGAGGATTGGAATTGAACATGATGCGGAATAGGACATTGAGACACACAAAAAAAGTCTAGAGTGCAGCGATCTCAGTTTTCTGCTACCTAAGCCTAAGTGATGATGCAAGCCAAATGATTAATATTTCAGTAGGTGAACACTTATAGAGAGACTTTACTGGAGGGTCTGGGGCTGTCACTTTAAATAACCCAAATTCTTTACCTTTTCAATAGTCCTCTGGATGTTACCAGCGCATTCTCAACAAACTCTTCTTGTCATCTCCCCTTTGTTCAAAATTACTTTGTGGGTATAGGTACTGCAATGTTTCTAATAGTCAGGGACTACAGGTGTAAATTAGCACTGCTGCTACAACCTGGTACAAGGCATCACTCCTCTTGGCTAATGTTTATTGTACACTGTCCCTGTAAAATAAAAATCATACCAATAAAGGTCTTACTTACTGTGTTATTGTGTTTTGGACACTTTTTTCGTTGAGCGTCATTCCTGGGGGTGGATCATTTTGCAGGGCTAGTAATTCTTTTTGTAACCGTTTCTATAAATCAGAAAACATTATGTAAATCAAGTGATATAAATGTAAAAAAAATCTGGAAAATAAAGAACATTTCATTAAAAAACATGTTACCAAGTAGACATTAAATACAATGGCAGTGGGTTACATTAATACAGTCGCCTGCCAGGTTTAAAAAGAGCCAACTTTAATGAAGAATAAACAGAATTGCCAGTGCCACCACATTTTAATCTTCAGTGTTTATACTATACATTTTAATTACGCAATTTCTATACAGCTGCTTATCATGTGGAACGCTTTTAACAGTTCTTGCACTTCTAGTTGCAACAATGTAAATACCCCACCGTGGGATAAATAAAAGGGGCTTATACCCTATGAGAGATCTTAAGGATGTTGTTAAATAGAAATAACGCCTTTACCTATTAGACAAAATACTATTTCAATTGTTAAATGTTCTAATTCGCTATTAGCTAGTTTATTTTGGAAGAACATCACACATTGAATTGTTTTAGACGATATAGTCTCATGTAATACACCTGCTCATCTTTACAGGAAACAGACTAACCAATCTGCGCAGTGTCGTAAGCTAGCAAACAAACCAGAAACCAAAGTTTCAATCCAAACGAACATATTAGGCAACATTAACAATAAACAGGCTTAACCAGATACGTTGAAGTATTTATCGATGTGTTTGGACGGTGTTGTACACACGACTGTGTATCAGGAAGCGTTTATCAGAGCTAAGGCTGAGCTAGTTGTAATGCTAGCAGACCAAGCACAGTTAGCCTGTTGACAGTTCAGTACTAACATAAATACACGGTACGTGGATGAAACACGGGAACCAGCGCACACTTAAGATGGAGTTAGATGTGTTGTTGCCACAAGTAATGCTATTATTACATTTAAATGAGATCGCTGTCAAATATATCTTACCTGCATCGACGCCATGATGGAAACCCCCTGCATCAGCGGAGAGCTGAGCACTGCACGTCAGCGAGCCACGTGACTAACCTCCGCCTTTTTCATTTATCACTTGTATTTATGATTTACATGCTAACATCAATGTTTGAATACAGTTTAGAAAGACCTGTCATTCTGAAAAGAGTCAGGTATAAATAAAAACAAAGGAAGCTTAGGATCTCACCATATGTTTTATTTAGAATTTATGGTGAGGGGACAACAGTGGATGGGCAGGGGAGGATAATTTATTCATTGCAGGACTTCAACAAAGCCCATCCAAAGTTAATTAAAAACCAACCAACTAATAAAATAATGACAGCAAGTCAGAACAACAATGATACACAATGCATAAGTGAAACATCTTGGTTTTATGATGAACAAGAAAAAAAGTTAAATACTCAAAATATCTTTAAAAAAAATATGATTTTGAACATTTTAACAATCCAAAAAGTTTGCAGCCATGAGCAACTCCAGGGCAATCTCTGGAGCAATGGGAAATTCCGGTATTTCTGTTGAGCTATTGGTGTATCGGACCTTGTAGGTAAAGTACATGCAGACTTTAGAGAGGACATGAGATGGGATCTCTCTGAAGTTCACTTCATTGGTTTCGTTCTCTGCAAACTGCCCTACAAAAGGTGAAGAAATACAGTTTAGTCAGCACTAACGAATATGACTTATCCAACATTGATGTCCTAAAACAAGGGTCTCCAACCTTTTTCCTCTGCAGAGCTAATAATTAAATGGGACGAGAGAAGCCAAAATAAATTGTTTATATAATGGTGAGCTAACCACAGATGGGGCATAGACACCGGTAAAACATTTATTCAAGCTTGTAGTTGCAGGAATATAGTACAATAGTACTGTAGTAGTGTTATTCATGAAATGTGACATTTAACACATTTTTAACTTTCAAATCTTTTGAAAGCAACTTGAGGAATAGATATGAGACCCCATTAAAAGTTAAACATGTTAACAAATAACCACAAATTAAATACTTGGATGGTTTCATGTACGGTAAAAGAAATCCATGATTATGTCAATATCATGACCTTTGTTATGTATATAGTTTTATGAGAAATCTATTATAAACATGTAAATAACCAGGAAGGTATTTAGAGACTTATGCTGTTGTATTGCATTTAGGTCTGACATTTTTCAGGACAAGCCATTTAATTTTTTTCTTACCCACCATGCTTCAACATTGCAAATAAATATCCCAAATATGAAGACATATGCTGTAACAACATCTTCAAGTAGTTGTTACAGCAAGTTGAAGGCATTACAGCGGCTAGAATGTAGGTGGGGTACTACTGAGAAATCAATGTTTATTGGCGCAATTTATGTACAGGGTACAATACAATGGACCAATACTTTAAAAAAGGGCATTATCCACCAAAACTTACCTGGTCCACTCAGCATAGCTTTGATAGTTCCAGAGGTCAGAGCATGTTCTCGTTTCACAATGAATTCATGGCCATCTGAAGAAATTAACTTCACATACATGGCTTCTGGACCTTCACAGCCACCATAGATTTTCTCTTCACCATCTAAAGGAAAATACAGGCATGTATTAAACACTTTCTAGCCATTGAAAGTAAAATCATGTTTTTTTATCATGTTTGTATCCATATTATATATGAGGAGCAATAATTATTTGGTCTGTTCCATCTAGGGATGTACCAAATCCAGGATTCGGGTTCGGATTCGGCCGAATATTGGCTTTTTTGACGGGGTTCGGTTTCTGGCCGAACCTTAGAATTTTTCCCCAACGAACCCGAACCTTGCACTTACACTATGCGCGCTGTGGCTGTTGGATTTGTCACAGAAATCAGATTCGTTCGGAAGTGTAAATAAACATTCACTTTAGCGGAGGTTTATATCCTCTTGCTCTCTGCTCCTCTTTGGGTGCACTGAGGTCTCTTCCTGGTCATGTGATCCCCGTGGTCCAATTAGCTCTAGTCATACGCCGGTGAGAGGGGATGTTATGATTCTTGTTTTCACCTGTAATGCGGTTCTGATGGGATCATAAACTAACTTCCTATTCACCAACTTTATGGAGCCGATTACCAGTGCCAGGTACTTGTCATCTGAGCTGCGTATGACCGTAGAAGCAGAGTTGGTGAGTCCGTGTTTAGGCAACTAGCCTCTTAGCATTAGCTTCTCTCAACTTGTCTCTACGAGTTTGGCATATTTCTCAAATGTCCATATATGTAATGTCTTGACCTGAACCAGTGGAAGCTATTTATGCAGGTATGGTGCTTTAGCTCTTATTTTTACATGACATGCACAGTAATATATGTACTTTATCACTGAAGTTTTACACTGCTGTGAACTAGGGATGTAAATCGGCGAGCGTTTAACCGGTGGTTGACCGTCACAGCGTTAACCGGTCAAAGCTGTCTGTTAAAAAAAGAGAAAAAGGGGAGAGGGGAGGTCTCTTAATAACGCTATTTTAAGCCCTATTTGCACGGTGTGACGAGCGGGTCTGTATCTAGCTGTGTGCGCCCATGTATTATAAACTCCGGGACGACTCACGCCACACGAGCCACATATGCACACACGCACTTTCCCCCTCTCCATACGTAACATCCACACGCATCATCTCTCCCCTCTGTTACCGTCAAAGTTGCACACTGGCGCGGGTCAGAACTACATTGGAGCTTACATTTACACACACACACACACACATATACATACATACACACACATACACACACACATACCGGTCTGTCGCGCTCCTCTGTCACGGAGCCCAAAGGATTCGCGCAAATACGCGGCTCCAGTCAAACCACATGGAACATGTTTGTGTTTATGGTCCTCGGTAGAGCCCTGCACGGGCCTATTATCTGGGCCCGAGCCCGACCCTGACCCGAGGGGGTGGCGCCCCAGCCCGGCCCGGCCCGATATGGTTTCTGAATTTTCAGGCCCGAAACCCGCATCAAGCCCGACTTTTTTTTTTTTTTGGTAACCTCCCATAACAATGTTTTAGCGTAGTTTATAGTGCCGCGCACTGATATGAACGCAGACTTAGCTAGAGGGCGGAGTTATACATGGTAGTGATGTGTTGCAATGAGTTCTGTGTGTGCGGAGTGGTGCAGAGTGAACGGCCGCATCTGTATGATGCCCATTAAAAAAGCAGTTCTCTGTGCGCAAAGGTGCCGGAGCTGTTGCGGGTTTTGGCGCCGCTGTCTCAACTCTGATCCAGTAGAACGCAGAGCTGCACTTATGAAAAGTACGCGGCTCGAAATGGCTGTTGTTTCAAAGAACATTGACTATTTTAAACTACGCGGTTAACCGGTTTCAACCGGTTAATGAGGCTCGGTGGTCGGTCATGAAAATTCATAGTTTTTTACATTCCTACTGTGAACTGAATGTATTTGTGTTTAATGATAAACGGGATTATTATAAATGTTATAATAATAGATTCTGGTCGAGCTACATGTTTAATTTGCAATGCCGATTTGTCTCGTGGTGGTAAGGACCCTAAACGGTACACAACACCGCCAGTTCGCCGCTGTTAAAACATTTGCGTATGAAACATTAATGGACTGAGGATGGAATAGGATTCGGTATTCGGGTTCGGATTCGGCAGAATCTTAACCAGTGGATTCGGTATTCGGCCGAACCCCAAAAACCTGGATTCGGTACATCCCTAGTTCCAACCATAGCCAGATTGTGATGGCTGCACTCTCTTTAGCTCATCTGGGGGAATCCCGATGCATAATCAGGCCAGCTGAGAAACGTCCCTCCAGTGTGTCCTGGGCCATTCCTGAGGTCTCTTTCCAGTGGGCATGCCTGGAACATCTTCACAGGGAGGCATCCAGAAGGCATGCGAAACTAAAGCCTGAGCCACCCCAACTAAGTTATCTCAATGTGGAGAAGCAGCAGTTCTACAAGCTCCTTTCTAAGAGAGGCACCCTCTTTGAGGAGCTCAGTCACACGGATGACATGGAAGCCATTCTGCGCAGGAACTACAAGTATCCACAATCTCCCAAGGATCATGACCATAGCTGAGGGAGGGAATGTAGATTTAACGATGTCTTGAGATTTCTTGCTACTTGGCTCGCTCTTTACCACCATAGTCCAATACAGCAACAGCATCATTGCAGACGCTGCACTGATCATTCTGTCAATCTCATGAGGGCAAAAGATATGAGCAATGACACTGGTACTGAAATTTCTCCACTTGAAGGACCTCTCCACCCACCAAGAGGCCCATTTTTCAAGTTGAGCGCTGTGGCCTCAGATTTGGAGGAGGTGATTTTCATCTGATCCTGTTTCACACTGGTGTATACTGTCCCAGTGCATACTGATAAAGACATTTTTTGTAATTATTTTGAGTGGCTTTAAACATTTTTGTCATGCGTTCCAAGAGATTCATCAACTTCCCTCTGCGGTCATGAGGCACTCCAAATTTCTGGTTTAGTGTATGAAATAAAAAAATCTGAGCTGTTGTGTATTTACAGAAGAGCTTCAACAGAAAATGCAGAATTTGCCAACTTACCCATGTTGTTTCGGGGTATTTATCCTGTAGAAAAAGAAATGAGCCATGAAATAATAGATATGATTTTCAAGCAATCTTTAGCTTAACCCCCATTTTTTATATCATTCCTAAATGAATGAGAGCCGAAACAGCTCAGCCAGTTTACTAAAGGTGCACGCAAATCACCTCCCTCAGTTCAGCCACCAGCTTCACAATGTGTTCATGTGAGAAAGTTACCAGTGGTGGCTCTTCAACATCCCGTCAACTCCAGCTGATGATATCTTACAGGAGCCATGTGCATGCGCTTTTGTTTGACCATATTTCATCAAATACCAACGCGGCCATGCTTCAGTCAAATCTACGTCCCTCATCACCCTAAATATCAACCTGCTTAGCCCTGTCCACATTGTCTGGTTTACATGGTCATTTGCAGACACAACTTTTTCTGCCTTGCAAAGTGAATTTGTGAAGTGAAGGAAATGTGAGTGAAAAGGTCAACTGACCACTTACAACATATGTTCTCTATTATTTCAAGAACATTTTGAAATAAAGTGAAAATAAAATCGTTTGTAGATGGCAAAGGAAATGTATATTTGGCTAAAATAAAAAGGTTGAAGACTTTGCATTGCATTTATTTATAACAACACATATTTGCGTCACGAATGCAACGTGATTGGGTTTAGGATTTCCATTTACATGTGTCTGAGAACAAAACTTGGTTATATAAAAGTTGAATAAATACAAATTTAAAAATCGTGGAGTGTAAGGCTTGATATGATGAATTGGACAGATTAACCAAATGTGGTATTTTCTACTTAAACTGGTTTCAGTAGAAATATACTTAATATTGAAGTTCAAATACAATACAATTGAAATGAAAGGTTTGGCGAACACCAGATATGTTCTATAATAAATATAAGTGAACATTGGTGGCCTAAATCTTGAGGGGTGTTCCGAATGTGTTTAATGTAACAAACCAGCTCGTTAGCAGTAGCCGCCGAGTCAACCATAGCCTGTAAGATATTTGCGCACTGCTTCTCATTAAACACACAATGCTTCTATTCTAGTTTCCATCTTCTGGATTTCTTTTTATTCACAGAACAATTCTGTAAACTGGCTATAGCGTTAGCTGTTAGGGGTGCGACAATTTAGCATTGCTAAATTATTAGCATTACAGTCGTGAAAACACGATTAAAAGCACAGCTGTAGTTTGGTTTAATAATGCTCCCACGGCCTATTCTCACGTTAAAGGGAAAATACTATCATAAAAGTAACAAAGTAAGAAAAAAACACAAGATCTTCTTCAAGTTCTTACCAATCACTGAGTGAAATGCAGAGGTAACAGCGATGATGTTAGCCGATGATAGCAGCAGCTGTAGCTCACCGGATATAGTCCGCACAACTATTCTTCCCACCCGGAACTACTACTACTACACCTCGAAACATTAATGCAAAAAGTACCATTGATATATTTATATGTTTATGAGTAGTACAAGTACGACAACCTACAATTAAAACAACAACATATACATAACATAATAACATAATAACATAATTACCATAATTCCCAAATAATTTAAGTAAAGCCCACCTGTTATTACTTTCTTGGTGAGGTGCTCATTTAGGCAATTTTGTGTAAATTGGTTTTGGTGACTAGACTACCGTACAATTTCATAACGGCTTATAAAGTTAAATGAATGTCGTACGTAGTGAAAGGGCAACCAGTTTTTTTTCAATCCAGTAGATGGCACTACTATGCAGTATTGAACTGAAGATAAATTGAGGTTGTCCAACTTGGTTATCAGGTTTTCTACACCTACTGTAATAATAATAATGATAATAATAATATTATAAATTATAAAGCCGATGATGACAATAATAATAATAATAACTATAATAACAACTACATCAATAATAATGATGATAATGATAATAATAGTAAAAATAATAATAGTAATAAAAATAGTAATAATAATACCATCAATAAAAATAATAATCATAATTGAATGAAAGCCAAAAACATTTATATAATGGTTTGCCTATTTTTGAATGGCTGAATGGTTTGTTGCCTGTTGATATAAATTCACATCAAATGTATAATTTATCGATTAATACAATGTCACTGGTTGTAGAAGGGATCACTGTAGAAGATAGTTGAGAGTCACTTCCCCTTTTAGGCTCAATATTTGAATCAGTCAAATGTGACCGCAATTTCCTTTGCACTGTTTTTTTCTGGAAAGTTCCAGAGAGCTGTTTAGGGATTATACAAAAACAGTAAAACTAATCACTGACCTCAGTGCCCTATCATTCTATTAGTGCTCATGATCAGAGCAAGTGGGCAGTGGCACGGCTTTGAAGTCTGTCTGATATGACCCACCCATCTGCAGCTGCTCAGCTCTATTTTAGGGGAGGCCATGGCTCTTTGGAGCAAGCCCCCTTAACACAATCAAACAAAAACTAAATATGAAAACACACTTATCATGCCACGTTCTAGTGTCCTGTAACACCTTTTGATGCATGGGTATCAAAAAGTGTAGATGTTAATTTGTCAGGCTGATCAGCCCTGGCACCTTCATTATTTGAGTATCGATAAAGAGTATTGATTATGGGTAAGGATAATGTTGTCCTATATTTTTCCTGCACCAGTCAAATGTCAATAGAGGAGAAATGAATGACATAATGGCTCCAAACAAAACCAGGTCAGAACCAAAGACGGGGAAAGAACAGCTTCAGGCAATCCTGAAAAATAGGAGTAGCATGTCACAATGAATCTGAGGCACTGTCCATTTTGCCCATAGTGACACAATGTCACAATTAACCAGATAAGAGACATACAGCAGTGACCTGTGAGACTAAAATCAGTTACAATATCATGTCACGTCATCAGTCTAACTATGTTTGAATGATGGATTCAATAACATTATGCCTCTTAACGTTAAGTCTGGAATTTGTACTAGCTGGGACTATATGAAACACACAGAGAGGCTCCATGGCCCTGACCAGCGGCTGAACATTCACTTCTTTGGGGTGTGACAGACACAACAGCTGCTAAATTGTTAAATCTACTTTCAGTATTTTTACAAGCAGATAATTTATGACTCTGTGCATAATTCATGTTCTACAAGATGCGTTTGCAATACTTGTGTGAAAATGGTGTGCTCTTCCCTGACACTACCATAAAATGTGTCTTGTTTATTTTAGAATCTGTCACACATGAGAACAAAATCTTTAATGAGGATAGATAACTATGCACGCTTTTGGGCCAAAAAAATAATCTGGGTATTTGCCACAAACCACATTGATTTAATCCCAACACATAGTTTATCCAATGTGGCCTCCTCCAGTTGTCACCTCCTCATAAAAAGCAAGGCATTGAATATTGTTCCCGAATCAAATTACCATATGAATCATGGTCAAATAAAGTTTGGAATAGTATTAGTATATGTTGAAATACAAGAGATATGTACCACTACAAAATGAACACATAATAGTTTACTTTGGCTGACAGACTGATCGTTTCATGCTTTTATAAGAGGTTGGTTTGTGTAAATAGACTAGTTGAAGCATTTTAAGCCTGCTATGTGTGGTATGGAAAGCGGATAGGCCTAATATTGATGTCTTTTGAAAAACGGGCATGCTACTGATATGCCAGTCACTGCTTACGCGCCTTAATCCAATTTTAGAAGCACAAGTGCTTTTTAGCCGGTGAGGGACAGTTACATTTATACGAGCGACATCTCATGCTAATTCTCCATTGCAAGATGAGTCGTGATCTGTGTTTCATTGCTGAAATGTTGTGTAGGATTCTTTTACAACCATTATACAGTTGGAAGGAACCATGTGATAATTCTAAGAAAAAACATTGGAAGTAGTGGATGATGCTTCTCATATCTAAGAATGCAAAATACGTGATAGATTTTGTGTATTCATAAAAAAAAAAATCCTAAAAACCTTAACTTTTCCAGTGTGCATTGCCGTATTAGAAAGGTTAACAGATTTTGTACTGAAGACAGACAAGTTGGATTTCAAGCCTAAATAAAATGTTGAAGTGTTGAGATATTTCCTTCATGTGACAAGGCTAAAGTAATGTGATAGCTATCTCTCAAGTTAGCAATAAACACAGTTATAAATGTTAGTGGCGTCTATGTGAATGAGTTATGACAAGTTAAAGAAGAGAACAACTTATCAAAACTCAGGGAGTCACAGGGGGCAGAGCAAGTGCATGACTTTGCATTGCAGATTCCAGCCAGGTGCCATTGATGCTGTAACTGGACACTAATCTCGGGTAGATCATCAGTGGAAACAGTACAGTCCGACCCGGGACAAACCAGGACACCTGCTTCAGTGTAGCCACAAGCACCAGCACTGCTCTTTGGTTTGAGTCCAGGCGTGACCCTCGGGATCTCATTAGGATAAGGTCAGTGGGAGGCCATAACTCAGAGGCCAAATGGAGCTTCCGCAATACAAAGAATTGAACATGAGACCGAAATTTTAAACGTTCCTCTGAGACAAGTGAAAATCCTGACATCTATCAATACCAACATTTAAAAGGCCTCAAAATAGGAAGCAGCAAGAGTTAGGCATAACATTTTTTATTGTTATACACATCTCCAAAGACTTTGCACAAATCAGTGGGGTATCTTGAGATATCAAAAATCACCTGCAGTTCCCATATCCTCAATAGCTACTAAAACAAATAACATCCATCGTTTTCTTTGACAGCCCATACATTACTATACCAACCAGAAATATAATATTTTCATTTTTCACAATCATGTGCATTACATTATCAATACAAACAATATTCATTTCCCTTTTCAAAATACAGGTGTGCAAATAGTTAGAAAAATACCAACTCATACCAGATTCTGAATTGTGCTCTGTAAAAATCCATACAAACAGTATATAGAATCATCTATATAATATAAAGGTCTCCACCATGCATTGATTTATCTTGGAAAAATATCCCACGAATAGGTTTTGATTTGGTGGAAATGGTATATTATTATTATTATGGCGTGTATGGTCTTGAACATGGTGGATGCTCTTACAGTGAGTGCCATTGACTTCAATAGCAGCAGGATTTTATACATTTGAGAGAAAATACACATGTAAAATATTGACTTCCATCTAGAGGAGCTTTACACAGGCAAAAATCCAAAGAAATTCTGATGCACGATGCCCGATTTGAAAAACAGTCAAGTTTAGAAGGTAAATTTAACATTGCCTCTTTAAAGCCCTTTTTACAGTGAGCAATGGAAAAATACAATGAGCAAAATCAATCATTTGAATCATATGACAGTTAGTCACTTTTTTCCATTACTAAAAATAAAAACATATACGTACATCATGCCATATCTGCAACAAAGACTACTGCCAGCTACAGGTTGAGAGCTGGATGGCAACGATCAATCTCACACACAACTAGATTAAGACAAAAGTTGCATCTTGTTTGCTGTGACCACTTCACCTGACCTCACACCGCTCTGTTCTCTGAGGTAAATAGCATCACTTAAAGACTTAAAGGCCTCTCTCCTCTCACCACAGGACTGTCCGGACCCAGGCTCTCAATCATGCAAGCGATGATGAGCCGTGTGAAAATGAAGCATAAAGAACAAATAAAGAAATTCAAGCTGTGCTTTTGGCATGTATGAACAGTACAATGACACATTTATCCTTCTTCAATAAATAATAAGACATGTTTCATTATTTCACAGAATAAACTTGCTTTTACAGCTTACAAACACATTTGAAATTAAAATGTATCCACAATATATTTTCAATAATTTTTACCCACAAAATAAATTAGACATTTCTTATCGTATTTTACAAAGTATAGTTTTGGCAATATATTAAAATACTTTTAGTCAAAAATAAAGCATACATTGCACTTTTATCCATAACCTCAAATAAATATTTCAATGAATGCAATTGATAACAGACTTCCACAATAATGGATGACGGCCAGTACCCCACATTCAGAACAACAATGAAAACATGTTGAATCCATACCATGCATGGGCGTGCATAGCAGTGTGTCCTGGGTACAGTGGAAAGAGCTGGAGAAAGGATGAAGAACAGATAAAACTGGAGCGATAGCTGGCTCTGACTGAGCGCAGGTGATGCACTGCTCTCTGTTATGAGATCGAAACGCTCTGCCACAAACCACCACTCCAACTGTACCCTTGTCTGCTCCGCAGGGGGCTCACGTCTCCCCATAAAACGTCACACGGTAAAATAGAAAGGCAGCTGTTTGCTCCCATCATCTAAAAGTGCATCTCTGTCCTTTTGCAGCCGTGTCCAGTCCACCACTTTATCTGCCAAGGCAGTGGCTTAGATTGCACACATTTCTCCCTTAAACGCATTTACTTGTGTTTTTTTTTCTTTTTTTAAAATACTTTTGAAATGTTTTTAATGATCTTGGTAAACACCTTTGCACTTAGTTGAGCCATAGACAGCACTAATTCAGGGACTGGCCTTTTCAAAAGTGGCCAATGCCAGGTGGAAGGCAGCTCCTCCAGCAGTCTCTTCTGTGGATTCCCAAACACTCCGTGGCTTCCCTGTGCCTCTGTGGCCATTCTCAAGGCCGCTGATGCAACCGTACCAGTTGCCAATGTGTTCACTGTAACAAAACACTTCTTTATTACATGTCTGAATGACATCAAAGGAAAGTTAAAAGATTACCTCTGACCTTACCTTGTGTCATCAAGTCAGGAAATGAACAAATATAATAGCAAGGCCAATATTCAGCAGCATTACCATAGCAACAAGAATAGAGTTGGGACCCTGAAACACAAAATAAAAAAGAATTAGCAGAAAAAACAGAACAAAACAACAATACATTGTAACCTAAAGGGACAGCACTCTTAGTGGTTAAATAAAGTTATTACAATTTAAATTCAGCTTTGTTGCCAGAACCTGTGACACACAGATTCAAAGCAGTGATTACAGATGCAAACCACCTGCTGGGCTTTAGCTAGAAACATTACGTATTACTACTTAGTTCTGTACCTGCTTACATTTAAACAAACAAAAGGCATTGTGCTACTTTTGTTACAGCCAAAACTAGATAAATGCCACTTAAAGAAATGGCAACCTAATTAAGAGACTCCTTCTGGCCTCTAATTGAATAGTCTGCTTAAAAACTGATAACATAAATAATGAGGGCAGTGTACTTTTAACTTACATTTTTAATTACACTTTCATCTTTTATTCAGAAAAGGAAATTTATGATATGAGATGATATATTGTTATATTTGTATACCTATTATCTATGGAGGCAAATAAAAATGAAAATTTTATATACAGTCCCTTTAGGCAAAAATAATATAGCATTGCTTAACTGCTTCTTCTCCATTTTTGGCAAGCTCCATGCTGGCTTTCTTTGTGTCTGCGAGGCTCTTTGGCTTGAGGGAATCCTGCTTCCTGAGTTTGGGCTCGCTCTTGCTGTCCCGGAGAGACCCTGGCTTTGGGACAGGGGTGGTGAGGGATCGGGGGGGCATCCGGGCCAAAGCCAGGGCGCTGGGCTCTTCGTCCACGTCCTCCTCCGGGTCGGGGGGCGGTGGAAGTCTGGTGGGGGTTTTGACATAATAACTATGGTACTCTGCGTGGAGCTGTCCGTTGACCGGGACCGTGGGTGGCTGAGAGGGGACTGGGGCTGGGGCAGGGGCGGGGGCGGGCGCAGGGGCAGATGCAGGGGCAGATGCAGGGGCAGGCTGTTGCACTTTGGCAGGTTTTGGTGGCACTTTTGCTTGACTTTCAATTCCATCCAGTACTGTTGGTCTCTCCTCTTTGCTCAGCTTCCTGCTCGGCCGCTCGTCTTTGCTGGTCTTTTGAGCGGCCTTTTCTTCTTTGCTTGCCTTGCGGGACGACTTTTCCTCTTTGCTAGTTTTGCGGCTGGTGCTGTTGGCGATCTGGCCCTTTTTTTTGCTGGACTGGGGCGAGGGCGGGGGGGTCCCGGTGGCGCTGGTGATGGGCGAGCGCGGAGGAGTGGTACCTTTGCGATAAAAATGAGGTGAATCTTTGGGATTTTTCTCCTGCTTTTCAACAACGGGGATTTCTTTGATTTCCACTGGTTCTTTCGTCTGTTGCTTTAAGTAGTCCGGTCCTGCAAAACACACAACACAACTCTTAGCAGAATATTGTAACAGGTGGGGCAGTACATATTCAGAATACTATTTTGAGTAACTATTTTTCTCTTTTGGTGGTATTAAAAAAATCTTTACTGTAAAAAAAAAAAAAAGAAAAAGGAATATGGACATACAGTATATGGATATTAAATAGGACACACATACCACACCCACACACACATTTGTGACATTGGAGTCCAGATAAAGTTTAATAATACCACAGCAGATTTAGAGCTAGGGCCAGAGTCCAAAATCCAGATTAAATAAATACTAGTTTTTTATTTTATTTGTCCTTCATCCTTTCATAGACCTGTTCAAACAGTCGTGAGGGAGGGTAGATTAAAACACTATTCCAGGTATTGTTCATGGGTAACTGGCCTCTATATGCTCTTTATTTATTACCAGATTAGTATTTTCTTTGCCAAGTTGGCATCTCGTGTTCTATTCTATTGGAGAGTAGGAAATGATGTGTCCATTACAACAATACTCTTCAGTATCTACACTGGAGGCTCAGTTCATAGTTTGTTAATTACTTGAATACATCTGGCATGTATGATATTGTCAATCAAAACTGGGGTACCCAACTTTATTTTTTATGATACATTTAAAACCATAATAATCTCTAAAGGCCACATGGTGCTGTCCTAATCACATTACACAAACCCAGTGAGTCACTTTGGCCTGAGAGATCATTGGCTGATCGAGAGTTGTCGTCTTTTTTCACTAGTTTATAAACAAAAACCTGATCTTATGATGTGACAGAAGCCAAAAATACATGCCTGTGAAAACTAGTGAAAGAAGAAAACTATATTGAATCAGGAACAAGTTAGATGAGATTTTATTTCATAGTTCAATTTGTTGTGGTTTGAAAGTTAGGCACCCCAACTTAAAACATTACAGGACTTTAGGATTATTATGCATGGATCTAGCTTGGGGTTCACTGCAAGATCCTGAGTTTGCATGTTCTTCCCGTGTCTGTGTAAGTTTCCTCCGGGTGCTTCGTTTCCCCTACCAATAAAAACATGTACAGTAGGGCTGAAAGAGATGACCGTTTGGTGTTTCACGTCTGTCATCACCGTGAGTGGAGAGAATAGAAAATATCTGTACTCCAAAACAGTTTTGAGTGACCTTGGTCTATGAAATGTGCTGTATCAATGAATACTACTGCTACTAATACTATTACTACTACCACAAGGGGTCAGTATATTTCCAACAACAATATTAGTATTTCATTCATTGGATGTACTGCTTTCTGTTTAACTAACTCAAAGCAGCAAATGTTTCTTTATTTTAAGCTTTTAAGTAATTTTTCCAGGACCACCACAACAGACTGTCTACAGCTGTGCAAATACCTCCTCTACCCTTCTATGTGTGGATGTATACCTCCTCTACCCTTCTGTGTGGATGTATACCTCCTCTACCCTTCTGTGTGGATGTATACCTCCTCTACCCTTCTGTGTGGATGTATACCTCCTCTACCCTTCTGTGTGGATGTATACCTCCTCTACCCTTCTGTGTGGATGTATACCTCCTCTACCCTTCTGTGTGGATGTATACCTCCTCTACCCTTCTGTGTGGATAGATACCTCCTCTACCCTTCTGTGTGGATAGATACCTCCTCTACCCTTCTGTGTGGATAGATACCTCCTCTACCCTTCTGTGTGGATAGATACCTCCTCTACCCTTCTGTGTGGATGTATACCTCCTCTACCCTTCTGTGTGGATAGATACCTCCTCTACCCTTCTGTGTGGATAGATACCTCCTAAACCCTTCTGTGTGGATGGATACCTGCTATACCCTTCTGTGTCAGTCCAGCACAAAATATGGGCTCATCACAGCCGTTTGCACAGCGGTCAATGTCAGCAATGGCAGCAGATATTTTAGCATGTGAAGATCCTCTGCTGATGAGTGAGATTTATTACAGAAGCACTCAGAGAGGAATTCTGTCAGGTCAGCAGGAACATGTCCTAGGACTCCATTACCCAAATGGCCCTGGTGTTTCTTTCATTCTGCATTGATCAAGTGGACATTAGCCTGCAGCTTTCTAAAGACCTCCTAATGTGAGCATCAAACTGTCTCAATATAGTATGCTGTTTATACACAGGTATTGATAAAGACAGTTACCAGAAATCAGAAATGATTTTAGAATTAACAGCCAAGTGAATTGTGATTTGGCTTTGACTGTCAATAATCTCTCTAAGTTATATGAATTAGGTGTAGTCCCTTATTTTTTACAATAAGCGACTACAGATTTTGCAACAATCTTACAGAATAACACATACAATATATAGCACAATATATATATATTATGTTATCAATATATCAATATTTCATAATTTCCCACCCTTTTGCAACTTGTTCTGGTTGTTTACTTCATACAATATATACAGTACATATCTATAACAGTTAATATTGTATTTGTGGTATATTTTTGATTCAAACCCACCAGCATTCACTCAGACATGTGTCGCTGGTTTAATTACTAATAACTGAGACATGTAGCCTATAGTTAACATAAAAACCAGTCATTTTTCCATGTTAATCCATGACACATTTTCTGCCCCAGTGAACTCTTAGGCCTCATATATCGGACGCACTCAGCCTAACCCCTCCTGACCTCAATATGAAGAGTGGAAGAGGGGAGTCCTTATGGAGCATCTGCAGCGGGGGCAGAGAGCGTACATCACATCTGCTGTTTTAATACAAGGCCTGGTTTACTGGTGTCTTTGAGCTGAGACACACATGACTGTTCTCTGACAACGAACACACCTCAGGCTCTTCCTACAAGTCCACTTTAATTACTTACTTTGCCTACATGACTTTCAAGACGAATAAAATGTCAAAACAAACAACAATTAGTTAAATCATTATATATTATACCTATTTTTGTACTATTTTTCAACTATTTCACCTTCAAAGCAAGGGGAAACAACACCAATACCTATTATTCAAAACAATATTAATGCAGGATTGTTACTACAGTTACTGCTATTAATACAATGATCCTTTAATTGAGCACCCATCTACCATTTGAGTAATGGCCAGCTATTTCCTGTATATTGATACAACCATACACACATACTACTACTACTGATACTACTACTACTGATACTATAATAATGATAATAATGCATCGGTTTTATATAGTGCTTCATTCCATATACAGTGATGATAAACTACTATTCAGGGCAGCTGTGGCTACAGTAATAGTTTATCACCACCGTGTATGGAGTGAAAGAATAATGACATGTAAAGCGTCTTTGAGTGTCCAAAAAAGCGCTATACAAAACCGATGCATTATTAATATTATTATTACTACTGTAGCCAGAGATGCCCTGGGGCAGACTGGCAGAAGTGAGCCAACCAGTATGTGCCACCGGCCCCTTCACAGACACACCAGACTCATTCTAGGCAATGTGGTTGAAATGTCTTTCCTAAGGACACAACTACAGTTTTGCTCTTTACAGTTGCTGCTGCCCCACTGGGGCACCTGGTGTTCCCAAAGGTCTCCCATCACAGTACAAACCAGGCCCTGTCCTACACAGCTTCAGAGGTCTGACGTGACCTGCAAATATGTAGCCATACTTGCTGCTTACTTACTGCTACTACTGTTAGAGTTTTACCAAACCTGGATGAAATATAAAGAATAGATGTATTTTAAGACTGATATAAAACATGCCATAGCAACCCATTATCACCCATTCTGCTATAGTACTGTGACAGTTTGGCACCAGGATTTAAATAGATACCACATACTGTACAATGAAAAGATCAGTTTTCATTCACACATAAATACAATGGAGAATGTTTTTTGGAGAGGGGGTTGATATCAGAAACCAGAGCCGGACCGTAACCCATCCACATTCAAGACATGCCAGAGAAACTTCATACAGAAAGGCCCGGTCCAGCCAAGGAATCAAAACCCACAACCTTCCTGCTGTGAGGCACGGGCTCAGCCACTGTGCCACCAGATGTATCATGCACCTTTTGTACATTACATTATACTGCTTTTTTAAGTCTTTTGAAGTTCTGTTCGGAGCCAGACTCAGCTGAATAAAAGAGCGTCTATTAAGCTGTTTTGTGGGTTGTTATCTCAGCATGTTCTTTTCACTGTTAAATTTAAGATTCATGACTCAATTTGTGGCTCTTTCCATTCTTCTCTGTCCGCCTACTCGCGTTGGCAGATGGGCAGAGGGGTGCAGTTATTGTTTGTTCACACTACATCCAAACACACATGAATTATATACTCTCATGTGTTCATGCAAACAGCCAATCTCTGTCAGCGGGAGGTTATTGTGATTTTATGTGTGTAATCAGTGTCTTCCTACATGGTTAGTTACTATTGCACAAACAGAAAAATCACAGTTGACTATAGTGATGTCACTGCAATAATATGGTTTTAGACTTTTATGGCGATAAATGTACTCTGCTCTATATCTACAGTATAAACCTATTTTAATACTTTTGTCCCCTACTACGAAAAGTTTACACATTTCTCATGAGTCATGCAAAATATATATGAAGAGATAATAAAACATCTGTTGTCTTTTTTACCCAGTATTCAAATTCTGCAAAGAATACCTCCACCGTCCAAAGCACAAGGAAATAAGGAGGATTAGACTTTAAAGCTGGGCTACTTCAATTCAATTCAACTTTATTAAGTCCAATTCTTTCAACTTGTAGATTGCCCCAACAGAAAGAAATGGTTGTAAAAGCAAAATGTTGCAAACCATTCTGACATGCTGTCTTCAATCTCATTAGCAGACATGTTATCTTTTGTATATGCCCTGTGAGCTACTATTTGACGTTTTGGGCTGCGAGCTGACTGGATTGGATCTCTTTATCACTTTTCTGTCTGAAAAAGCTGCTATTTGACCATGAAAAAATACATGCATGCATACTAACTGTTTTGAGAGCTTTAAAATTAGATACCCCAGCTTTAATTGACAAGGATAGACTGAAAACAGAGGCCACACTGTGTGATAATGGGCGATGCTTCCCCAGTTTGATTGTAGTCTTTATTTTCTCATATTTGGTTGAAGGAAGGGACAGCTGGAGCGCATAGGTCCATTTAGCACTCTCTCAGTACGTAAGGATTCCAGCTATGCCTCCATCATATCAGTCCTAAAAATAATTCGATGAACGTCACACATCGGCCCGCCCCCCTCTCACCCTCGCTGCTCTCCCTGCCAGGGTGTTGTATGTAAACCAATCATAAAGGTCAGGGCCCTGGTCCCTGTGACCCACTGTAGCTTTTGAAGTGCACCCTGCAGAAACAAGTGCTAACCTGGCATGAGTCAGAAATGCCAATTACAAACAGGGGTTTAAGAGCACAGTCCTTATCCTATGTATGCAGGGGGAATTTGAGATTTGATGTTTTTTGGTTGGATATACAATTATATTGTTTTACTTAAACGTAAAGAAGAAAACAGCCTTTGTGAGCGGAGTTAGCAATTTGTCTGTTTAGGGTTCCTCCAGGTGCTTCAATTTCCCAAACCACAAACAATATGTAGCCCCTGTAACTCCCCCCTCCCTGCTTGGGGCCAGGTCTCCCCTGAAAAAGCGATCTCAAGCTTTTAAGTAAAGGTCAATTAAATTAAGTCAACTAATTATTGGTTGAATGTGACTGAAACTCTACGTATAATGCAAATAAGGGGAAAAAGAAAAAGACTATTGGCTTTCTTAAGACAAAATGACAAATAAATGCTATTGAGGAATTTAAAAAGTAAAAGTAATAGTAGTACAACAAGAGTAGTAAAGGAGTAGTAAACGTGAATTGTAGATGTACTATTGCATTTATTCTGAACTATTGTAACTCAGACAGTGTTTAAAAAATCCCCTGTTGTACCTGAGTGGAGCCTGTGCTAAGTGTTTTGGCCACACTGGGGGCAGGTGCCCGTCTGGCTGGACTCACACACACTTACGTGTTGCTACAGCTCCGATGTCGCCCTGCACTGCACATTATTACAACATCACTCACTCTCTCATTCATGATGTGACTTATAAGGCAAAGACGCCCCACGCGGACGTGTGCATGACTGAAGTTTTCCACAACAACTCACCACCGGACGTCTCTTCTCGCCCGACAACACCGTCTGTGGCTTAGAGCTGGGACGTGATTTGAATGAAACTCATTGTCCATCTGTTTGTCACCCACTATTTTCAAGTAGCTTCTGGCAAACGCCCAAGGTCAGCTAGATCACACGGCTAAATATATACACATTGCAAACAGCAGTACGTGGCTCTGCTACACATAAACAAATAGAAAAGCTATGGCACTTTGTCACCTCCTAAACAAAGTGGTAACATTGTCCATTCATTCTTATCCGTGTCTTTATTTACTACTGACTACATCCAAAGTACAACCTGTATGTCCCTCAGAGGTCAACGAGATGGCCTCCTCAGGATCACAGGCTATTGTCTTTTAACATGACATATACCTACACATATGTAAATGGAACAAAAAAGTTGCTCAGTATCTTCAAATATGTAAGAAGTTGTATTATTAGTTTTCCATGTATAGATGAATAGATTTGAAGTCTTTAAATGCTGTAGCAATGAGTCTCTAAAAAGCTGTATTCTGGTGCAAAACCAGAACACAGCACTGACTCATTACAAAACGCAAACAAAGCAGGCCTTTATGTTGTTGAAATGATTCCCAGTAGCCCTGTAGTGTTTTGTTACTATAGCCGAAGAACAGTCTGGGGCTTTTGTCCCCACTGCACACTGTATCACTGACGAGACAGGCCTATGTAAACAGCTCGAAAGCAGAGCAAACACCATCGCGCCACAAAGTGCCTGTGTACCCCTTCTCTCAGAAGCCCTGGTTCATGCTTTGAGTAAACAGGATGTGTCGTCTTAAGTGTTACCTGGTTGGTGGAAATTTGGGGAGAGGTCTCTGGCGACCGATCTGGCAATTTCGGAGTCATGTACTGCAGAGATGCACGCCTGGTCTGCAGCTTCACATTTCGTCCTGGCATGGGCCGTTCTGCAGACACACAAGGAGCATGAGGAAATACATAAAAGTCAAGTTTGACCTTTTAGAAAATATTTTTATCTCATTAGTAGCTGTTGCTACAAATATCACATTCATATTGAACTTAGAGGGTTCTATAGCAGCAGCACATACAAATATATACAGCACATATCTGTGTGTCAAAGCCCAATGTCACTATGGGCCAAAGTGGGCCAGTGGTGGTTCAAAAGTGCAGACTGTTGTGTTCATAGGCAAGACACCTAAGCCATATTGACCATGAATCTGGTATGTGTGTGTGTGTGTGTGCGTGTGTGTGAGTATGAATGAATGGTGGTGGTCAGAGACGTCGATGAAGCAGCTTTGCATCTGTCACTTTGCCTTTTTAAAGAAAGAATATTCGAGTTACGTCCAAACAATATATTGTTATTTTTTCAATATCGAGAGAACCTTCAAGATGGGCTTGTACAGCTCTGGCCTTCAGAACAAACATACAATTGCCCTTGAATGCACCACTACGGCCAGCCAACCACAAACCACAATTCATGTTTGCAGTGGATTGACATCTGAAGCCAACCAATGAAAAAACATAGGAGGGCGGGAGTTTTTCTGAAAACCTGAAGTTATAATTATCATATTGATATTGAGATAGCTACCACCACTATCACATTATACAATTTTGTCCACATTATTCAGTCCTAGTTTGAGTATCCAAAAAGCAGGATAGGAAAAATAATCAATAGTGATTAAGAATACATGACGGAGTAGAACAGCCTGCTCTGCTCTGATGAGTACCAGTCTAAATGTTGACAGCTGTTGTGTGGTGTCCGGCTTAATCCCACTCATCCATCTTCCTCCCCTCCGCCTCTCACCAACGCTATTCCCCAATCTCCGGAAGACTGAAAGTTAAATAATTACGTATCTATCAATGCTACTTTAATACAATATAAATAATGTATGTCAAAAGGTTAGTGAATATAGTCACTACAGAGGCACAGAAATGGTCGTTTAAAAGGAAAGAGGAAGCTTCTGTAATTCAAAATATATTCCAGCTCAACCATAACCCTGTTTTTAAACTGAATCTAAATGATTGTTTAACCCAAACTGTTACAATCCTCATAAACTTCCAATTATTGTAACCTTCTGCATTCACCATCTTGTATGAAATGTATGAATTAATGAACCCACGGTGCCAAAGGGATGTGACACATTTCTATCCACAAATAACAAACCGTGAGACAAAGAAAGTTCATTCAAGCTCTGACCAGCTGCACGGGGAAATTCTAGTTAAGGAATTTCACACTTCATTGCTCCTTGTTCTTACCTACTAAAACATACCCAGTCGCTTGTTTACCGTAGACACTTACTACAACAACATAAAGACATCTATTCTGAAAGGTGTCAAGTGTGCGGTTGGCTGGAAGCACAGGTTGTAAAATGCATAGAGGGGTCCAGAAGGGCTTGGGTGGTTCTCTGGGGTCATGTGGAGATAAGGAGTTCCAGAGAGATAGGACAGAGAGAGGGCTGGTGGTGGGCAGGCGGAGAAAGGATGGGAGCTGAGGTGTGATGGAGCCGGAGGATAAGAACGGAGAGAGAGAGCTGAGTGACAGAGAGAAGCTGAGGAAGTGCAGGAATGTGGTTACACTTCCAGTAACAGTGAATAATAATCTAATGTAGTCCAGTATACATACAGTATATGACACACTATAGAATGGATGAACAACTCTCATTCATTATGGATCTGTAGAGATGTGTGTGTGAGCTTCATCTTTAGAGGATAGGACTTGTGCAGTATGAGGCCTCCAAAAACTACCCTCTATTGGTGCATGTATAATTTCTTTTTACATAAATAATGCATAATAATGAATAATAAATGCCATGTTTTATACCACATTACAATCTTTCTGTACAATAATCCAGTCTGATACTACTGATTATAAATGATGAACAATGTTGCATCTGTAACATTTTGAGACGTGTACAAATCACATATGGACAGCTGGATAGGTTTAGGGTCACTGCTAAACCACAGCATCTGGAGCAGAGTTCAGATTGTATTTGTAGTCATGTGGTTAGGGTTAAATGTATAGTGATAACATAACCTTTCATATTATGTACTAAATATGAAGTTAGTAAAAAAAAAAATGTCTTTCCTTTTTTCTGCCCTTAGTCTGTTTGAATATAGAAATACAAAGGCATGGATTTGACACCAGCACAGCATTTGTGATTCATAATTAGTTATTAGAGAAAGTGGCATGGACCTTGCATTGGCACTCGTCACACTGTAATGCTTTGTAGTTCACCATCAATGCAAAGGTAATGTCAACAAAGTCATATATAGGCACAATTCATTTAAAAAGTGAAATTCCCAGGTTACGTATATATTAATAATGATTACCTAAATTAAGCAAAGAAATAAAAAAAAGGATATTGATCAAAATAATAATGTATCTTACCCACCCCTAACTGTAAGACAGAGCTCTTTTTCTTATATTATTGTTCATACAAAAGGCTTTAACCATGGTATATGGTATAAAGCAGCAGCCCATAACACACACTGGGAATAAAATGTTTTGTTTAGTAAATTGACAAGACTTCACCTGAGCCGCAGTCAAATCAGTGCATTTGATTTTGCCCTTTGCTTCTGTATACTCAGATAGTATGCAAAAATCCCACAGCGGCACAAAAGGGCAGCTTTGTTTCAGCACTGTAATATGTACGAAATACGAAATACGAAAAAGCACAGATTATGTTAAGTGAAGAAATGCAACAGGAGACAGTGCAAGCTTCAGACCATTTGAAAGGTTGGGGTATATGCATCTCTGCTTCTCTAATTTTACTGTGGTTTAGGTTTCAGCTCCCTCGCTCTGCTGCTGTGGGCCTGCTCTCAGCGTGTGTGTATTTGGGTATTTGTATTGGTTTGCATTCCCCAGAGCTCCAGTCCATCACCCCACAGGCTCCTGTCCCACACTCGCCCTCCCATGTGCTGACACAGACCTGCTGCCTTTCACTTTTCTCCTCTTCATCCTCATCATCACAGCCCTCTCCTGCCCTAAACGCTGACCACCACACTCTACAATAATGAGATTGGAGGCTCTCCTTTCAGTCGCTTTTGTAGAAGAGAAATAGCAGAAAGTGATGGAGTACAACTGATTTTTTATCTTTTCACAAACCAAAATAACATCAAGACAAACTAAAACGTAAGCCGGAATAAAGCCATCAATCTACAGTTGTGTCTCACCCATGGACCTTACAGCTCCAGCAAAAGCAGTTTGCACGAGTAAAACAAGTAATACAAAACACACATGAAAGATTATTGCTCAAGTAAAGTACATTGGGAATGTTTTGGAAAGTGGGATGGGAAAGAGCACATTTACAACACTGCTTTTTATTAATACACACTGTCCCATCCAATGTTACCCAAATAGATTAATAATGTCAGTGTGTGTGTGTTTGTGAGTGTGTTTGTTGGTGGGTGTGAGAGTGTGATCAGAAATGGTGCATAGATGGGATGTGATGGACCCAATCTAAATTTTGAGAATATCAGAGACCTTGATGAGGTTGGCTCTCTGCGACTGGAGCTTCTAGTTGCGGCTGTAGTTAACAAAAAACATTCTTGGTCGACTCAAAAGGGAGTGCATCGAATGGTCTAAAAATGTTCTTGAATCTGACAGAAAATGAACTCACAAAACAAATAAAACAACTATTTAGACATAAAATCCAACAATTATTTGGAGAAAAACAATGTTGATTAGTGATTATATATTGAGAGATCTTCTAGCTTGAATGTCAAAGTGAACACAACAAAATCAGCAATATCTTGATAATAATAATTGCAGTTTTCATATACGTGGTACAAGCTCTATCTTCTCTAAACAAAAGCTTGAACAAGTACAATTTGTCCCCAGACTTTCATATCATGTTAAAAAAGCCCCCTACCAGTCGTCTAAATCCTTCCATTGAAATCCAGACTGCTACTAATTCAGGCTTACTAAGTGTGACTAACACCATTAGTTGATTGCTAAAATTCACGCTGAAATTATGCAGGAAATATTCCCAACGTTGACGTCTGGGATCATGTAACCAGTGCTGGCAGGGAATGGGGATTTAAATGGGAAGAGGGCAGCTGGTTTTGCATGATAAGCTAACTTTATCCACAAGACATACTGTAGCAGAAGTATAGGCCTATAATGAGGATGTAAGACCTGCTCATGAGGATGGAGCTCAACATATTTTAGATTCCATTACCCATTTTGGAAACATATCGAGAATTATTTATAATACGCAGGTACAGAGAGTGCAGCTTGAGAATTGGACAATATGGTGAACACTTAAAGCTAGTGTACGTACATTTTATTTCCTCATGAATAATGCACATTGTGAGTCCCGACAGAAAGAGTTTTGTAAAAGTAAAATGTTGTGAACAAATCATATCACAGCGTTCTGTTTTCGTTTTATTAGACCCTATTTCTATCTTTGGAATATCTGTAAGAAAGAGCCTGTGAGTGACCGTTTGACTCTTTAGGGGAGAGCTGATTGGCCGAGTGAGGGTGGTCCACTTTTTTCTTTTTATACTTTTTTCTGTCTGAAAAAGCTGATATTAATGTATGTGAAAACTAGTGATACAACCAAACTGTTATAAGAACCAGAAAATGGGTTTATTTACATTGCTAAAATGTGTTTGTGGAGCAAAAGTTATAGGTATCCTTTAGGAGGCCTTGTGAGAATGTCTTGAGGCTCTATATGGGTCTATGATATGCATGAGAATTGGGCTTAAATAATACTCAGTACATACTCAGTCCTGTTGACAAGCGTAAACAGTTGGGAAAGACCTTTGTAGCTCCATGACGCTCACATAATTTCAATCAAAATGTGGATTCATAATTGTTCCTGCAGTGGTGAGTGACAGTGCATCTATGATCCCACTGGTTTTTGGTGAAGGGCAAAGGGATGCAGACTGTAGCTCCATGTACTTTATGTCAACACGAGCGTGAGGCGCGGCCACAGCTGATGCA